CTAAAATAAGCATGTTGTCACAGATTGGTGAGGATGATGCCGATACGAAAACCAGCTGAAATACAGTTGATCGCTTTTCCTCAGCTCTGGCTTACAAGTTGTTTTAAGTGATTCATGAAAAGTCTTGCTTTCAGGTCTTAGCACAGTGATAGGAAGTAAGTGCTGGACATGTGGTGGGTGATGTGATACAGATTGCTGGTCACACCTCAGGTAATGCCCTTCCCAGCCCCTGTGCCCTGTGATCAGCTCTTACCTTACTGTCAGTATTTACTTCTTGAGGTGCTCTGCTCTGTGGAATTGCTTTGTCACAGTGTTTCAGCACTAAAGGTTGAAAGCATTCATAAGAATTCTTTTTGGTGCTAATAATAGATTTTTATGTCTCCGTGTGCAGAGTTTGCTACCTGAGTCAGACACGGGGCTGTCGGTTTGTTTTCTGACAGTGCAAAGCAATTAAAACCTTCATCCCTTGTGAAATCAGCTGGTGAGATGGGCCCTCCAGCTTCCCAGAATTTGCCTCTAGACTGATTACATAAACTATTCATTACTTGTGAGAAAGCAGGATAGAAATTTGGACTCTCTATCTGTATAAACATCATCCTTCAGGGGAAGAGCAGGGGAACCAGTCCTTTCTGGTTAACTCCGGAGCGGCCTGCCAGCAGTGTGCTGGATGGGTGAGGTGAGAGGGAGCTGCTGAGGTGCTGCAGGATCAGGCTGTTGTGGGGATGTGAGACAGGTGGTGAGGAGCTGAGAGGGGCAAAATCGGTATTTAATGCCACAAAGCTGGCTCAGTTTGGCCTAGGCACAACATTGCTTCTGCCAACAGCAGCTACAGCGTTCCAGAAATACAGCCCTCCCTCCTGAGCCAAGGCGTCTCGTTTTATTTTAAACCCTTCTTTCTCAGGCAAGGCTCAGCAGAGAAGTAGTACAACACCACAGAACACTGCCTTCTCTGGGTCAGGGAGAGAGGAATGGGATGAAGGAGTGGTACCAGGGGCTCCCAGCTGCGTCTGGGTCACAGAGAAAGCTAAGGAGAGTGGAAGGAAAGCTGCAGCTGTGGGAGGAGAAGCAGCAGCTTATCTTGGGGCAGAGTGCAGGAGGGCCAGAGAGGAGAATCATGCCTACAGATTTTATTCTTAATTTTACACATGTTGTGACCACTGGTTATGAGCACTGAAGATTCCTTATTGCTCCAATATCAGTAAATATCTTTTTGCTCAACACTGTAAACTTAACTTGAAGTGAAAATGTTTCTGAATCCCCAAAGTGAAAATGAATGTAAAGGATGGTAAATGCAGGATGGAGAGGAAAAAAATAATGGGTAGAAATAATATAGTTTGAAAGTAGGGCAAAGTCTTAAAGTCAGAATTAGTAAGACATTCTAGGAAGATGCCAGGAGCACAAATCAGCTAAAATTTAGTTAGTAGTCTGAGAATTGTGTTAAAGCATCTCCACCTACCAAGCCAAGCTTTGAAGCATCCCCTGCAGCTTTTTTTAGTTTCTACAATAGATTTGGAAAGATCAAAGTCACAATACCATCAACAAATTTTCCTTAAGCCTCAAGATGACTGCTTTTGGTGAGATGTTTGAAAGCAGGGACAAAAGAATTGTCACGTTTTCCGAAGGCCTCCATTCTGATTTGCACGGGTGGGGACAGTGCATTGGGATGAAGCGCAGGAAGGCTGCCTGCTGACCACTATTATTCCCTTTCTGGGACCAAAGAAAGCATGATAGGAAAGCTTTCTTTTGGGACACTGTCACAGCATAAAGTGCTGTGTAATGAGATGGCCATTCAGGCTGAGCAGCTAGCTTTGTGCACACTGTTGTTTAATATGTGAAGCCATCTACTAGGATACGCATGTCCATTCACTGAGGCTTCGTGTAGGGTGTAATAGTAATGAGTGAATATGATCAAAAGAAATGGAAAAGGAAAAGCTTTATTTACAATGCTGAGGAGGTTTTACCATATGGAAATGATCGGAATTTAAATTTTTATCATCTGTCACAATTTGCTGCTGCTGCTTTAATTAAAATAACACCATGAATATGTACGGTGGGTCTGGCAAGATGTGCTTCGTGCTGTTAATGACTGTCAGATGCTAAGGCAAAGGGACACAGAGGGGGCACAGTGGAGGGAAGATCCTGAGGGAGACAGTGCCAGATGGCTGGGCTTATTTTATTAATTTAGCTCTCTATTCTGGCCTCTTGTCTTCCTTTCTCCCAAGGATGGGTTGGTTCAATGGCAGTCACTTCACATCATGGTATGATGTGTTTAACTCTTGAAGCACTGCAGCAGCAAGGGGAGCACACCAGCCCCGTGTGCCCTTGCTCTGTAGCCCTGAGGATCAGGTGGTCAGTGTTGTTCCTTCCAGCTGTCACATCCTCTGCAACCCTCTGCTATGTGACCTAGCAGCAGAGCCACCTGCTGTTCTAAACCACTTCCAGCCTCTCTCCCTGTGTGTGGGCCCCAAGGAGCATTTCAAGCAGCTCTTTGCCCTGTTGCAAAACCTCACTAGATGCTTCTTCCAGCTGCCTGGGCATCCAGAAAGCACAGCAAAGGCCTGGGAATCAAAGTAGGTGATTTTTTTTTTTACACTTAAGTTTTGTTTCCTTGCCTGGTACTGCAGTGTCGGCCGCCTCCGTGTGGGTGTTGTGTGGAACTGCTCTGAGCTGGTGATCATTAGGTATTAATTAAGGTTTGACATCCAGAGGAAAAAAGAGGGAAAGGAATCTTCTGCCAAAATCTATTCTGAACAGACTAAAACAAGAAGAGGAGATTTTTAGTTTCTTCCCCTTCTCTGTTCACTGTAATGGTAGAGAAGCTCTGATGGATCAGATCTGCTGTATTGGTGGCTGTCAGTTTAGTATTAGAAACAAAATGAGCTTGTGCTCTATTATTAAAAAAATAATCAGGAAGTTTTTTGAGTTCCTGCATTCTCTATAAAATTTTAGCTTAATGAATTATTTATTTATTAAGAACCTGTACCACATTTAAGTTGTCTTGGCTGCCAGTAAAGCAATTAGTGAGACTATTCTTGATCACAATACAATAGCTGGAACACATGTCAAGATGCATGCCAATGTTCCATGAGTTTGGTAACACTGAAAAATTCCAAACGACCTGAATTCACCCCAAAAATCTGTGGTATAATCAAAATAATGTGGCACCTCTTTGCCCTGCTCTTTTCATCCCCTCCACAGTCACCCTTTAAACCTGCTTGACTCTTTTCAGCAGCAGCAACTCCTGAGAGGCAGTTCCTATTGCCCATCAGGTAGTGACCAACTGGGTTGATATTCTGTAACAAGAAAAAGAAATGCAAGGCCTTCATACGCATGAAAGCATCATGATCAGGTTTGCTTGCCACTCTTACTATTGCAAATTAAGTGAAAAGAAATTGGCTCATGTAAGGAACATTTGTGTGAGAATGGCACTTTGCTAGCTTGGGGTGGAGACTCAGTGGTCCTTAGGTTGATGTTGCATGTTCTGCTTCTGGTTATTCTGAAGTCTTACTCGTGCTGTATATTAAATATTGGTTAAAATATTTAGTAAAGTGTTAGCTGAGATTAGATTAAAATCTGAAGGCTTTGGGGATGTGAGCACATCATACCTGTAATTACCAATACCTTCCTAAGCAGCTTTTCACAACCCTTTTTTCATTTCTTTGTGCCTTGAGTTGCCACTAAAATAAAATAATGGAAATGGATGGAGCTGATGATGAATCATCATGACAGTGTTCACTATAAATGCGGGTTTTTGCCAGAGTATTTTGATCAGTTTCAGGGTCCCAGTGGCACTGGCCCACTTAGACCTGCAGATAAAAATATTCTTGCCATTTCCTTTATTTGTAGTGATGCTACAACAGCTTAAATTAAAGCTTGTTTTAAGAGTAATATAATTAATCTACTTTGAAGCACTGTGGTTAGATGGCAGAAGAAGAAACACAGGGACTGCTGTGAGCTGCCTGATTGCAGCAGCTGGTTTCAGCACCCAGCAGTTCCTCGCATCCCACCTTTTATAATCAGATTAACACAGTGGAAGGGCAATACAGGAGCGCAATAGCAAAAGGACCAGCACAAATGGAATGGTATTACAATGGAAAAGTTCTCACCCATTTGTGGAGATCCAGGCTCACAGGAAAGACTCCACAAGGGAGGGATCTCTATCCAGAGATCCTTCCACAGTGGCAGTCAGCCATTAAATGGGATCTAAGAGAGGTGCAGCCAGGCTCCACCCCTTCTGGTCACACACATGAATTGCCTTCACCTGTGCTCCCAGGGCTGACCAGTCCTTTCCCCAGGTGCTCCATCAGTGGCTCAGGCTGTAACTCAGCAGTTCCCATACACCACCTGAACACCAACCAGTGAGGGGAAAGAGGCAGGTGCCTGCAGACAGCCTTTTAGAGAAGGATGTTAAACAATAATCAGATACTCTTATTTGCACTACATAGACTCTCAGTTTTCGGTTGAGGGAACCTGGGGAGCCCATGCTATGTAATCACGTTAAATATCGTGGATAATTCTGTAACTGTGAAAATTTATAGTCTAAGAGCTAAACATGCACATCAGTAGTAAAGCTCTTAACGCTGTTGCTCGGACCAGACTTTACTTTACTTTAGAAAGAATACTGAATTATTATTTCTAGCACACAAAAAAGTCAACAAAAGTTTGGGAAGTGGAATCTCAATCCTTCATCCTGCATGCAGACTTCCTTATTGATTGCATTAAACATTAAGTTACTAGGCAGCCTGCAGTCAGCCCAGCAGGTGGATCATCTCCTGAATCTCAGGAGTTTGAGTCTATTCAAAATGTGTTGCTTGGAACCATCATTAATTATGTTTGCAAGAGCAATTACTGCTGTCTGGAAGTCATAACTTAGGAAATCTTTTTCTCAGGTTATATACTATAATGGCACAAATAATTGCATACTAACTATTAATATTTGTCATTTAATTATACTGCACAGGACCAGAAAATATACTGATGTCTGATATCTTTTCTTTCAGGATGACTTTCTGTATAGTGTCTCCGTTTTAAGTGGCATCCTCTGCACTGTTTTGGCAGTAATCAAGTTTATGCTGGGCAAGGTCCTTACAAGCAGAGCACTGATAACTGATGGTGAGTGTGAATACAAACCTGTTGCACTTACAGATTCTCCCAGGAAATGTGGTAGACCCAGAGGTACAAGTGATCACCTGCACAAGGGCAACTGGGGAAGTCTATTGAAATGAAAAATTGGAAAAACACACAACAGAGCAATTTTTGACCTCTGGCTGCTTACATAGACGCATCAACTGCAATGAGTACCTCTGATGGAAGTCAAACAGTTAATGGATAGCTAGTGAACGATAATGGAAAGTTAGAGAGAGCACATAATATACATTAGGTGTATATTTGCCAGAGGTAGGAGTAGGGATATGACAACAATTTGTAGAGATTTGGCTAAGTCACATCTGTCCTCATTACCTACACCTGGTGAACAGGTTGATTCCTACTGCAGAAATGTAGAAAGTCTGCTGCTGAAAAAGCCACTCTGCTTTCAGTAGGAGTCTCAGCTATCATTCAGACTTCCTCCTGTAGAGATAATTTGCTGCCCTGGTTCTTTTCCTGCCACCTGCTCAGTACAGCCTGAGTACAGTACAGTACAGTAAGACACGTGGAAAACAATGCCACTGCTTATTGTCCTGCACCCTGCCAGGGTTTGTCACGTGGTGAAACTCATGCAGTGCTTGGAAGCCCTCACTGCTCCAGCCCTTGGTGCAGGTGCCCAGCTGTTGCTCTTTGTAAAGGTATGTGTAAGGCATGTTTTGAGGTGAGCTCCAATACTCCCCTCACTTACAAGGCTAAAGCTTGTGGATCTTTAGAAAGCCCCAGAGGTCTGCTCTGCAAACATGTGAGCCCGTGGGAGGATGGAGGTGTCACAGATCCCTACAAATTTCCATCACATGACAGTTTGAAATGTTCTGTTAGGATACACAGTACTGTGTAAATGATTCATGGACTGTGGAATGTAAATCATTTTACTCTGCTAAAAATTTCACTTTAAGGAAACTCAATTTTCAGTTTACTCTTGGGATGCATGTAATTACTTTATCTTAAGTTATTTAAACCTATTTAATTTTTTTTTGGTGATAGATGGGAACACATACATTTAATATTGTCCCACATATAAATACTTTGTGACTATTTATGTATTAAAATAAGCAAAAAGAAGAATCAAAACAGCAGTGCAGAATGTAGAACTAAGCTCCTGCCTCTCTCTGTGTAGCTGCAATAGATGTTGTTGTTTCTATTCCTTAGCATAGGTTCTTCTAGACATTTTGAATCAAAAGGATCTCTGGTCTGCAAAATGGATTCTGGAAAGGATCCTGGGGGCTGCAGACAAGTGAGTCTGCCTTATTTTGCTGTCAGAGTGTAAGCAGGACATGTTCGCTAGGCAGATTAACCTTCACTCTAAAAAAAATGTGTGGCTTGTTTTTTAAACAGTCAGCTTTTTCAGACAAAATATTAGGTGAAAAATTCCTGAATAATTCTAGCTTTGCATGACACAGAAATTGCTTCCCTCCTAATTACATCCTTGAGCTAATTATACTGCCACTGAACTGGAGCTTGCTCATTCTTTGATTAAAAAAACTAGGGAATAAGGTATACAATTACCTTGTTCTGCTTATTACCTCTATTTTCTTCCTTCTCAGACTATTTTAGAAAATGTAGGAGGCTGGTATTACCATGTGTAGTTAAATATCTTCTTTCACAAAAAAACATTTACATATATACTTAGTTTATTAACAACCAGGAGGAGACAGTATGATTCAATACCCGAGACAGATTTAGCACTCCCTTGCAATTCTTTTTTTAGTGTTTTCTGTTTCCTACTAACTTACCTCCTGTGATCACTGGCTGTGGACCAGCAAACTGTTTTGAGTAACTCAAGCATACACTTACCTTTCTTAAAAATATATGTATTTTTTTCCTCTCATACATGCCAATCTCTATTAAGGAGATATATATATACACATATATTTTAAAGAACAGGGCTTTACAACCATAGATTTTTGAAGCCTAAATGTATTAATCCTTATGAAACAAAATGTTACTTGTACAATTTGTGTACAACGAAAGTTCATGGCCTTTTGGATAATAAAAACAGCTGTTTCCTATCTTGAATCTTGTACCATCTCAAAGGACACATGTAGGGATGAGACAGACAGGTAGTGTCAGTGTAGGTTTTAGATACCCATTTCCTTCCCAGATTTTGCCACCTGTTTTTTCCTGTGCTGACCTTATGCACAGAATGTGTCTGGATTCATACCTGCAGCTGCTACATGATTTCCTGCCTCACCAACAAGGAAAGGTTTGTCTGAATGACAGTCAGAAAAAGAGACAATTTCCTTTGTAAGTAGCTTTTAGATCATTTGGAAACATCAGCCAATAATGACAAGAAAATGTCTTCTTATTTCCTGACTTTTGGATATTCTGCTAATAGAATCTGGTTTAAGCTGGTACGTGGAACTAACACTGGTTTAAATTTATAGTGAATTAATTTATACTTAATATATTATACACGCATAATATATATTTCATTCACAGTAGAAGTAGTATGTTATATTTCTTGGGAGTACAAACAGACTAGGCACTAACAGAGTGCTTTGGGCGTATGCTGGTTTAGATATACTGCTATAATTATTCCAGTAATAAAGCATGTATATGCAGGACTTGTGATCCCAATGGCATTACCACAGTCACAAAAAATCCCGGATCCTTTTCTCAGAGCTCCGGGAGCCTGATACCTTTGTATTCCCCATTCTGCCACAGACTTGCTAAGTAACACGTGATTATTCCACGCAAGGAATTTCCTTTGCATTTAAACACCTACTGACAAAGATCTGGTGGATCTTAAAATATGGATGGATTATAAAAGTATTTCATCTATGAAGTAGTCAAGTGTTAGCTGCATCTTGGAGAAATGACTTAGTTTGGATGGGGTAGGATGTGATCAGCCTGGCTGAAAGGAGACATTCAGAAGTAAGTGTCATACATGTGGTTGCTGGCAGACACAGAGAATTGGGCTGATGAGTTGACTTAACACAGAATATTGGCTATTTCAAGTTAGACTTTTTCCTTTGTCATCAAGGTATCTATCAAATGAATGCATTATCAGTGACATTTTTTTGTTGTAGCACAACGGCAATGCATTCTGGCTTACTGTGGAACAGAAAAATCTGAAAAAGGGAGTTTGGAAAGGAAAAGAATACAATCAGTGACTCTGAAAAATAATCATGATAACAAAGAAGAGCTGAAGGAAAAAGGACACTAATCATTCTAAAAGCTCTGGAAAGATTTTAAAGGGACAATCTTAGAAAGGAACAGTTTAAGAAAGAGAGAAGAAAAGGAATCTAAAATGATGTCTATTTAATTTATAATAGTAATAGATACGAATCTCTTCCTGGGATTATTGTGTGTCTTCCCTAATGCAGTCAGTGGTGCATACAGCTCTGAGCTATAGTGCCACATACAAGAAAACAAATAGCTGGAATGGAGTAAAAACCTCTGTGGTAACATCTGTGAACAGCTATTGTGCGAAATCATTTTCTTTTTAATGAGCATCTTGGGTATCCTGGGCTCTAGCTTCTAGGAGAAGCTGTCCTTCTCCTGTACAGAAAAAGTAAGAGACTTCAGGTCCCTTACTGATCTTCCTTTGATGTTCCAGTCAAGGCTTGCTGTGTGTGCTGCAGTACTAATTACCTTATGGAGATGATCTTTGGAAGATATCTATGCAAGGGCTACAGCCAGCCAACCACTGGTTTACAGTTCAGAGGTAGTTGGTTCTGATTCATGATGATGAGCTTCAAGAGGAAGAAGTGCTGCACTGGCAGAGTCAGCATGGAGCAGACCAGCATTTGAAGGATTTAGCAACAAGAAAGAAAAACTGTTTGAAACAAACAGCAGCTAGAACTGGGATTTGGAACTCAATAGGGTTGTGAGAAACAGTTGGGACCAACTGAACCAAGACACCCAGTACAAGGAAATGGATGTAGACTCTTATATCAGAACAGACAAGTGACAGAGCTTAAAAAACACTGGTCAGACATCAGATATTGCATGTTTGATTTGTAGAACAGAAGCATTGCAGTCTGCAGGCTAATGGTGCGAACAAATGGCACGCAGGACACCTCACACAAGGATCTTCGCCCTCTCTGCACTACTGGCACAACCACAGCTTTTCTCCCTACAGGTGAACTTTTCTGATGTGACATTGTTGAGATTTGGTTCTTCCTCTTTTTTTTTTGTTCTTCTTTCTTTCCCTGTCTAGGCTTCAACTCTCTTGTAGGTGGAATAATGGGATTTTCCATCCTTCTTAGTGCAGAAGTCTTTAAACACAATTCTTCTGTCTGGTATCTGGATGGCAGTATAGGAGTTTTAATTGGACTTACAATATTTGCCTATGGAATCAAGTGAGTATCTCCTGCTAGTAGGTATTTCAGTATGTACTGAAGATGGACAGTCTTTTTAATGTAAAAAGTCATAGCTCTTAAATGCCTGTGTAACTCCAGTTACTGCAATTTATTAGACCAGCTGCCAACAGTGTGGCACAGCGCATGGAATCAGACAAAAGTGTCTGTCTCACATCAATAGGAAAGAAGTCAGAACTTAAAAGAAATTAGAATTGTTTTAATGAGGCACTTCTTTACCTGCATTTGGAAATATAGCAGTGAAACAGTTTTGGCTTCAAAATATTCAAAAAATAACCAGTAATTTCAGGAGTAGTCTCACCTGTGATTTCTGTCTTACCTCCACCATGTAACAACTTTTGAACTGGAAGTTAGCTAGCTTTTTTCAAATAATATTGTTTTTACTGAATGTTAAGATTATTTATTGACTCAAGACATCACAACAGAATAATATTGAATGAAGCTCTGCTACAATTTCCCTTGTCTGCAAGGAATATGAGGGTTTTGCGTTTCATTGCTTTCTCTATAAGAAAAAGGGGGACATGCAGCATCTTATTCAATTGGAATCATGACTGTTGAGAGGTGGACTTTGGATGCAGTAATTTCTCAGCTGGAAGCTGTGTGTTTTTCTTCCCTTGATTGGAAAATTGGAAAATCAGCATTTTAATGGTGAATGCCATTTTTGAAAAATCATTGTAATTACTATTATTTCTACTGCAAAACTAGCTGTTCTGGAAAACTGTAGAGGCAATCCAGTGCTGAAGTATTTAAATGTACCAAACAGAAGCCATCATCTGCTTCTCATGGTGCCCCTGCCACACAGTGCATCTCTGCATAACCACTCCTGTGCTTTCCTTTGCAGGTTGCTTATTGATATGGTGCCCCGTGTACGGCAAACGCGCCACTATGAAATGTTTGAGTGAAGATCACACAGCTCTTCTTTGTAAGGACTCTAAAACTACAGCAGTTTTGGCAAGTGGTGCCAATGGTATTTTATTAAATATGCCGTTTGTTTCCCGTGGTTAGTTTTTGTTAAAGTTTGTTTTAATGGGAAATCTCTCTGTAAAATTGGCATATGTGCACACTGCTTGCAATTCAGTGAAACAGCAGCATTTTTCTTTCAGATATGCTATTGATTCCTGTGATGATAGAAAACTTGCAGTTTGCAGTTTTAACCCAGCTGCCACATTGTATATTCTGGAGTGAAAGTGTTCTTAATGATGTGATAAACCTGTGGGTAAAGAAGTGCCAGTTTCAGATCTTGTTTTTTTGCCCTGGCCTGTATTTTCCTAAACACATGCTGTAACAGAAGTGCAATCCTTGCTAACCTCTTTGGCTAACGGAATATCCTGTTATAAAGACAGACTCCAAGAGCTGTGTTGCTTTGAAACACTTACCTGGGATCTCCCTTCAACCCTTTTTAAATAGGCCCACTGAAAGAGTGGTTTCAAACCTTTTTGGGATCAGAGCGGTTCTTCATTTTAGCCCTAACCTGAGTGAAACAATACCTCTTCAACTTAAATTCTATTTTTTCTTAAGAAGACACTGTTGATTGCTTTGCATGGACCAAACTAGCACACACAGTATTACTGTACAGACCAAAGCCAAGAAGTCTTGCAAGGAAGAGAAGTTGCTTGAGGAATGGGACTTTTTATTCTATTATACTTTACACAGACATGTCGGTGTGTGTGACTGTGGTTGCTCTGTAGTCTGATGATGGCACAGCAGTGGCTCAACTGGGTGGTGAGATAGAGATCTATTTATTAGATTTAGATTGTTCTGTAAAGTGTTGCTCACCTTCCATCGCACATCTTATGTATTACTTACTAGCAGGTTAAATTATCAAAGAAACTTGATGTATAAACAATAAAACTGGTATCTATTTTATACAATACCGTAAGTAACATTTAAAAACTATTTCCAGAATGTACCATAGAGCAAAGTCTTCCTGTATAGCAGCCAATTAAACTGGATTCTCTGGCTATATCCATTTTCTCTTTATTTTATATATTTCAGGTTGGCTTTCACAACACAGAGCCAGTATATTGCTTCTGTTTATCACAGGTGGATTAAAAATAGCAGACAGTCCACCACAGTGGTTGAAATTGGATTGTGGTAAGTAGCCAAGTAGCTAGAAATCCCCATTTTTAGCTCCTCTACAATAGATTATGTAAATGAGAGTAGATCTATAATGAGACTGTTCAGTGACTGATGTACACTGTTTACATAGTTTACTGATGCACTGTGTTATCTACAACCATATTTCCCTTCAAATGTCACAGAGCAAGTTCTCAGCCAGGTTCCCCAGGGTCCTTATTAAAGGCAAGCTCCCAGTGATGCGTGTAGGAAGAGACACCAAAAGGTGTCACCGAGCTGACAGTGTCAGTGTGAGGTGCACAGCACTGGCACGATGGCACTTGCTGTCTCTTGAAACAGAACAGAAAAGTCTTTACTGCAAAATGAATTCTGTTCTGCTTCTATAGTTGGCATATTTTGGATTAAGTTTATATAATTGTTTGTATACAAGCTCCTTAATATTGTTACTATCAGTGTCCTGGTGCTACTTGAGCCTTTGCTGGCGCCGGATGATGACACACCATCACACGTCACTCAGCGTAAGATGGAAGCACAGCACTCGACAAGACAAAGGAGGTACTTTATGAGTTTATTCAGCAGAAGGATGTATTGTACAGGAATCGTCCCTGTCCTCATTAGGTGGACTTCTAAATATCACGTACTGCCCCCAAATACTTTCTTCATGCACAAGTTCCTAATTCCTTATGCTTTTGCTTAGTCTTGATATTTTCCCATTCTGTTTCTTTTCTAACTCCAAGTCCACTGAAGAGAGCCATGGAAAAGGCATCTCCCTGCTGATTAACTCAGTTTTGTCAAGCATCGTCAGTACCAGAATCATAGAACCAGACCCTGAACATAGCTATTTTATGTATTTCTTATTTTTTGCTGGTTTTACTAGTACTGTTTACCCTTTTCCACCTCTCCAGGGATTCTGTTGCTTCTCTAGTCCCAGTGTCAGTCATTAAGTGACACTTAGGAACTGCCCAAAGCACTGCTCCGCAAGGCTATGCGCTACAGCAGCCAGGTTCTAGCACAGACCCCAGCACCCAGAAGAGCAACAAGAAGGTAAAACGGGTTGTGGTGAGACACCTAACTGCAGTGAGCTTGGTGGCAGAGAACTCCTACTTCATGGAGGGAACATAGGACATTAAACCAGCTCACATTTTAAAGAAGCCTGTTAAAATACTGAGTGCGGTGTGTGCACAGGGACCTTTGAATGTGTTCATCCATGAAGCAAAGCTGAGGGAATATTCCTTCCTAAGAGGATGGTTGTAAGTGCAGACTCCAGCTGCACAGCCCTTGAAAATGAGATGTGGTTGAACAAGCTCATACTTCTCTTATCACAGTAACATAAACCAAATGCAGAAGTATTTCAGTTGCCATGGATGCTTCAAAACACTTCTGGTATTAGCAGATTAACACAAGAAAATAAGTAAAATACTTGAGACTTCAAAGGCAAAAGACCAGGCAATAGTGATACACAGAAATGAGCACAAATCCATACTGCCATACTTTTTATGGCTCATTACAATTGAAATGAAAATAAATGCTCATCCAGTTTACCAGGATGCTCTGCTCCAGCCAGGCACCCTCGAAGGTAAAATTTTCAATAGTAGCTTTCTCTGTTACTTGTCTGGGCCAGCTGCTCTGTAATTATGAGATAACAAGCAGGTTCCAGCCACACTCACTGAAGGTTGAATTTCCAACAGCAGGGGTAGCCTGGGAGCACTTGGATCACCTTAACCTTGGTACTGCCCAACACAGCATTGGTGACTGCAAGCTTGTCAAACTGACAGATGCTCTCTGTTGTGCAGAGGGCATAGAGAATGAAGTTCATACATGAAAACAGCACAGAGTGCAAACTGATACTTACTAAAGCATGTCAGAGTTGCAAATTAATCCCTGAAAATGTCAGTGAATCTGAGCTGAGGCTTTGAATTTGTCCATGTAGTACAGCAGAGAAGGAAGCTATCAAAACCCCACACCATGCCTTGCACGTGCCAGGTGGGCTTGAGGTGTATTTTGAATACCTTCATTGTTAGGCAGTGGAAATTGATTCTGGCTGAAAGCCAGGTTTTTGAGCCCAGAAATCACCAAATTAGAACCCCTTGTCAATTCAGTCCACTTCTAGCCTTGTAGGTAAGCTATAAATAACCAGCATTCAACCACCATCTGAAAATGATGTTGCAGAACTGGACTTGAAGCAAAGACCGCAGACAGGCACTTCCTCAGACAACGTCAAATTAAGCTCTCAGTATGCACCCTTCTGAGCTCTCCTCACTAATAATGATAACACCATTTGCATTTCTGCAATCTCAGGTGCCTGGGAGCACATAGACATTTCTGGGAGCCAGAGAGGTAAGGAAGCATTGAAGCTACTGACCAAACGCTATCCCTGAATACACTGATCTGTGTGAATACCTCATCCTGGACTTGCAAGTGTTTCACTGTGCTCACAGCACTTTTAATTTCTCAGCACTGCTCATCAGGCATCAGAACTGAGACAGGAGGGGCACAAACCCACATTCCTGTGGGTCCAGGTTATGCAATTGGAGAGTAATTAAATCAAACACCAGCCAATCAAGGGATCTGTCCTGCTTCTCCCACACCTGGGAGCAGGATGCTTTCCTGCTCCTGTCAGCCCCAGGATGAGCCTGTGGGGAGGCAGTGAGCAGTTCCTGCATGTTACCTGTTCCACGCTATCAGCTGCATGCTGGGGTTGGCTCAGCTGCTCCTCAGGCAGAGGTTGGGCACAGAATCAGGGTGGCACTGTGTGGGCAGCCAGGAGCGACGCAGGCATCAGCAAGAACATCAGCTGGAGGGCTGAAAGTGCATTTGATAAAAAGCCTTTGTAGAGGAGTTTGTTTTGCAAGTAGTTGTGTATTCTGTATGCAGTGTGCAGCAGTGCCCGCAATCTTCTTTTGGGCTGAAAATTATTAGGAAATATGTCTAACTATTGGAGAGAACAAGTTGCCCTCCTGAAATGAATCTTGATTTTATCTGTCTTTAAATCCAATTTAGATTTCAAACAAAACAAAACAAAGATAACAGTATCCTTTCTTACCACTGGGATGTGGGCCGTGGGACTGCTTCTGCTGCGTGGGCAGCTGTGGGCTGCAGAATTGTCACACAGATGCAACTCTGGATCCGTGGCAGCTCACAGATTTGCCATTTATGCACAAAACAATCATAGATCCAAATCACACAAGAAAAAGGTTTATTGAAAAATAAAGTTCTCCCTAGTTTTTTTCTACAACAGTGAAAACAAAGCATTTTTCTATGCCATTAAAGTACAGACATTTACGTTTCTAAAAAAAATAAAATAATCATCTTATCCTATTGAACCCCAGTAACTTGACAGTATCTGAATCACTGTGTTCTCATCTTTCCGAATCAAACTGTTTGAATGCAATATAGTGGAACACAACTATTCAAATAAAGACTTTAGGAGAGAATTCCAACTGAACACACACAGTAACCAGCCTGATCCTGAAGTTCTTACAAAACTCATAAAAACTCCAATTCCAAATTATTTTCTGCAAAAAGCAGCCTTTGTTTTTACAGATTTCAGTAGGTTTTTGTTTAATTTCTCCCCTTACAGTGCTACAGGGATTACTCAATTTTCTAGCCTTTCCCTATGGAGATGCCTCCAGGGAAGGAATGAGACCAGGAAGTAGAGGGCTGCTCTGTGTCATCCTGCTACGCTCAGCCAGAGAGAGAACTCAGCTCAACCCAGCAGAGTGAGCATTCCTTTATGTTTTAACATTTCTCTTTTTATAATCTGTAGGGTAAGTTTTCTCAGAAAATTGACTCTCTTTTCCTTTCGCTAAAAACTGCCATTTCCTCCTCCTCTGCCATATTCCTTTGTGAAAACTAAATAAAATGGTTTTCACTGTCTCCATATTACAGCAAGCTTGTTAATGAAAGTAACAAATGAGTTCTGGGTATAACCCTATTAAAATGAATTGCCCTCAGACAGCCATTCAGCCTGATTTACCATGTACCTGTGTGACACCGGGAACAGCTCCAGTCCTGCCAGGAGCTGGGCTGGGCCGTGTGACACACACTGCAGTGTGGGGAAGGTGGAGTTACAATTCATTTTATCAGCGCTTTGAGGACCTGATTTTATTTACCCATTTAATAAGCAGGTTGCTTCGTGCTGTTGGGAGGCGTCTGCTGAATCAGAACCCAACACTAGTTTTAATTAAATGAATGTGTAAAAGATGACTCACGTGGAAGCTGCACTTAGTTACTTTTCCCTGGAAGAAAGAACACGAGCAATGCCACATAGCTGAGGTTCAGCCTCTGAAATTTTCAACACATCCCTACAGTAAACATTTTAAACCTGATACATGGAGTTTGCTGTTTACACATTCCATTTAAATATATTATTTTTACAAAGTAAAAGAACCCCACAACTCTAGAGCTACTTAAAAATATGAAGACAAGATTTAAGTCACTGACCATTAAACAAAATGTTTTAAGCTACAGTACAGCAGTATTCTTAAAGCATACTTAAATGAAACCTGTCCCTGGTCTTTCCAGCCTGACCAGAAGCCCACATCAGCCAGTGCACCACTCTCCTCAACTTTACAGTGGTCCCTGAACTGTTGGGGACAAAGGAGAACCAAAAATGGAAACCAATCCTAGGTCAAAAGCTGAAGGCAAAGCAGCTGCAGGGAAAATGTCACACAGAGTCATGGCAAAAAGTTAGCACCCCTTGAAAAAAGGCTTTAAAGTTGAAAATGGTAACTGATATTTAAAGCAAACAATCAAAACAGAACTAGACTTTAGCACTCCAAAATGCAGAGTGGACAGTTATTTAACCAAGTTCTGAACCAATACTATTATGGTGAGTCACACCAACTTAGTGAAGATAAATGCTATAGCAGCAAGCAAAACTGGCTGCTTGTAACATGCACAGCATTACCTGCAAGGGTTTAGTCTTTATCCTGTAGGATGGTGCTTTATTAAAAAGGGAGAGCTGTTTTTTTTTAATTTGAAATTAATGGAGGAGTCCTGCTACCAGTGAAGCCAGTGGGAGTTGTGAAATTAATTACTTGGATGAGAATTCTACCCAGCCTCATTTATACACTTCAATTTTTACTGAAGTAAAATCCGGTCCTGAAATGCAGTATGAAGAAAATACATGTCTCAGAAAGCAACTTGAATTTTACTTATGTTGAGAGTAGCAGCTTGTAACCCATCTTTGTAATTTAGAGGGGACACTCATTTCTGAGAGGGGAGGCATGTCTTTAGTTAGAGGAAAACCCAAGGCCACACAGGAGGATTTAAAGGACAGAACAATGTAATTAAGCAAGGAGATAAGAGGTTGGTGAACAGCCTCACTTTCACCTGATGGTAATTTTGGACAAGCCTGAGCACCTGTCAGTGAGCAAGTTACAAACAGCTGCGAGTGTTTGAGCAGAGCTGTGCAGGGAGTGCACAGAAACCTGTGGCTCTGTCCTCCAGCCTGTGCTGCTGAAGTTGGAGTAGCAGCTGTTAGACAAAACTTCCTCACAGAAATGAAAATAGAGATTTCTGCAGTCAGATGAACAGCCAGAATTCCCTCTCCACTGAAGCTCATACATTTGATATGGACTCATACATTTGGATATAAAGGACTGCATGTTAGGAGCACCAGGATTCACCCTGTGCATTTCCATCTGAACACACTTGTATGTGAAAAATGAAGTACCTCCCAAATCCAGTGCAGATCTTAATCCTTCCAGTTAATCAAATCAGGTGTGACTGTTCTTACAGGTTCTTTGTTAGCATTGTCTCCCAGGAGAATACAGTGGGTGCAGTTTGCTCTCTGTCATTACACAGACATCTGTCCCAGCAGGAGCATTCCTGTCCAATTACAGACATTCACTAAAAGGCATTTCACTGGCAGAAGCAAATTTTGGTAAGAATCAGTGATGTTTTGGTATCTTTTATCTTATTAACCCTTATGTTTTCAGAGCAGATCTCCCTGTTATTTCAAAACATTCAAAATTTGTTCTGCTAACAGATATACAGTGATCGAGCACTGGGTTTTACCTGCAGTTAGTGTTCCATTATATTTGTTCAGACAGTGTCCACATTAAAAGCAGCCATCCAAACCCCAAAGTAAAGAAAAAAAAAGGCACATAAACATTAAATATTTGTAGGAGAAACAATCTGCTATAAACAAACACAGCTGCGACTATAAAGCACAAAAAGAAACAAACTAAGCAAAAAATGCAAAAAAGCAACTCTATTTATACATGTGCAAATCAACTTGCATATATGAAATAAATGAGGTTTTTATTGGCATTTTTAAACAGTGTGTATTTACCAACTTTACCTTTCAAAGGCAAGCCATAATTTTATGTTAATAAATATGTAAATGCTTCTCTCAAGTTTTCTAATCTCATAGGAACAACATTTTTTGAAAAAACTAGGTCACATACAAAAATACAAAATTTTAAAACAAAGAATGTCTTGATATGAGAGTTATGTTTAAAAGCTTGTAAAATGTTCTTCTATGCAACTTTTGACATTTTTCCCCCCCACCAATCACCGGTCAATATATTCAAATGCCAAGTCATGCAAAAACCTGACTTCTGATTTCAGAGCAGAAGGAGCTGCAGGCCTTACTGGTGGACTGAGCTCTGCAGCACGGTCCCACTCAAGGACCCCAAGTGGAATATTATGACTCCACCTTTACTCTTTCACTAGTTCTGACACTTGGACAGAAGGCTGGCCTCTGTTCTAAAATGGGGATTTTTTTACACATTACTAAATTGTTCAGAATTGTAATAGTCCCACAGGATTTGCCTGCGTGCTTATCTGCAGAAGGGCTCTGCATGATTTACTGATGCATGAGCAACACTGCTCTGTGATGGAGAGTGAAACATCAGCACACTACAGATTGTTCACTCACAGTTCTTAGAGGATCTCTCTTTAACAGAAATTTTGATTGAAGCTGTATTTCGTAAAAGTAACGCTTCTGAAAGAAGAGGTCCACCTACTGTGTTTAAAGTTAGCAGGGCAGGCCTATGAGACTACAGCTCTTGATTCTTTTTTCTTTAAGATTAAGGACTCATTCTCTATAGATTTCAGTGGAAATAGAATCGGACCCACATGATCCTGAAGCCAGATTTAGATATCCTGTCCCTGGCTGAAATGCCAGTGGCACCGGTGTTTGCTGTTTCACTTTTGCCAGTATGTGGTAATTCAGCTCAGTAGGCTAAGAGAGAAATAGTGCTACAGCATGAAAAAAAAGAACAGCTTATAATAGACTCTCCCTGCTGTGGTAAATGCAGACTTACCATTGAGCAAAGCACTAGACCAGAAAATCTTATAATAACAAATACCAAAACCCTCCCCATCTATAAAAGTTTAGAGGCAAAATAAAACACAATATGCCATGTGGACCATACAGCAGGGGGAGTCAAGCAAATATGTATTTACAGCCAAGAATTACACTGCAACAAAAATTACGTGTTTTGCATTTGTAAGTGCACACATCCACATCTTTGTTTCCGATGTAATTCTCTGATATGTCATTCTGAATTAAAATCCTGCCTGAGGAACCTCAGGCTGAACTAGGAAAGACAAATCTCTGCTGTTGCCCCCACTTTCAGCACCAGGTAGAAGTACACACTGCCGTTAATACACAGGGTTTTCCAGTTGCACAAATATGCACAGCTATGTGGGGAATAGGTGATATAAACACAAGATGAATTGTTGCATCTGCTCAGACCCATTTCGAATCCTCCTCCTCCAGCTCTGCTGGGGTATTAAAACTATTGCAAACCACGCTTCTGTTGACTGAAGCAAATGCTGAGATATGCTAACAGTAAGAATGTTCATACTAGTTGTGTTTTGCTTCTCACACCAAATATTTGCCTCTCATTAAAGGGCCCTGTTATTCTGCTTTTGGAAAATTACTCTTAAGATACAGCAGATTTTACCACCATTGCAGCCAGTTCCTGGCATCCCAGGAACTTCCCACACATCCTTGTGGCCGCCCAACAGCCTCAGGATTACAGTCCTGTGTTTGCAGCAGTCCTGTGTATGGAGTGTTACAGTGTAACACCATCAGGAGTGCTGAGGCAGGAAACCAATTGGAGAAAGGTAATTCGCTGCTTTCACATTGAAACTTAATTTTCAGTTCCCCTGTTTTAAAAATTTATCCAGGATTAAAAAGCAGTTCCCTCGAACGGTCTTTGGTAGGTGAAGAGATGGGAAAACAAAAGTTTCTATGCTTTTCATGGCTACTCGGTCATCTTTATAAAAAAAAACCTTCATGCCAATGGGATTTTTTTCCAAAACAGAACACATTCAAGTCCCAAATGTGCTGACTATGACTGCTTTCAAAATACACCACAGACTGGTTTCTCACTGACTTTAGCAAATTGTTTCCTGCCTACAAATGGTGCTGCAAAGCGTGCCACCTTCTGCTGAGAAGAACCATAGTTACCTCTACAAAAAGAAAGTGGTGTCAAAGATTTAATGTGCTGCTTCAAAGGAAGTTTGAATTCAAACTCTTCAATTTTCTCAATTTATAACTGGTGTGCCTGTTAAAAAAAACAGAAAAGAAAACCTAAAAAAACACCAAACCCCTCCTTCCCTCCCCAAGAGAAAAACAACCAAAGCACCCACATGATCAGTCAATACTTTTCTTAGCAGTTGTCTCCTCTTGTTCTTCAGAAAAAAATTCTCTTTAAAAATCTAGCTAGTTATGAAGACATTTTACATTTCTACCATACAATAATTATAGTTAGCTTAGTTTAACCTTTCTATGTCATTCAGCAACACTTTAACTACTGGAAGGCGCAGCAAACTGAGGCTCTAACAATAATATTGCTCCAAAGATGCTGAATACTTTTTGCTTCACACAGTATTTCTAGTAGACAGACTACAACAGAAGCATGGGCAAATTCCAAGGATTACTTTCTAAATGGGACCAGTAAACTGACAAGTCCATTCCTAAAAAGGCAGCGTGTCTTTGAGGCTTTTCCACACTGAAGAATGCCCCAACCCAAGTTGGCTGTCGGGTCACACTCTGCCTGCTTGCTGACTCATAGCACTTTCTGTTCACACTGCTCTGGTGCAGCAGCTGTGATGCAGACAATACTTTGTATACAAAGCTTAAAACAAACGAAAAAGACTGGGCCAAGATAACCCAATTACAGAATATAGAGCTATCTTGTGATTCCAAATTCTTGTGAAGTAAACCACTTTGTAGCCATTCAAGACAAAGCAGTGCCCAAAACAGTGCATCTATAATAAATTTTCGTCCTCCCCCCGCCACCCCCCCCCAGCACACTTTTTTCAATGTTCTACTGGAATGACGCTGAGATCTTTTTGCTAACCATTACCAGGGATGTTCAAACTCATCGAAAAATAGAAAACACTTCACCCAAACAACAAAAAAAGAAGTTTGATGGGCCTGGGAGTTTTCTACAAACTATTCTGTGCAGTCATCTTCAAATCACTGGAGAACACGAAACTCATTTCTCTTCGCAAACAGATGAAGCAATTTGAAGAGTTGCACTGCAAATGTTCTTACAGGAAAAAAGATCAGTTAGCTGTTTGCTATCAATCCCTCCTCTCAGTAGATAATTCTGCCCAGCAATAATAGCTCTGCCTGCAGCAAAAAACCTGGGCAGAAGTGCAGGAATTAATAAGTAGCTCCTCTTAAAACTACTTACATTTTGTCCTCTACTCAAAAGAAGCCCTGCTGCTGCTATAGGCAGTCTTTACAAAGCGCAACCTGTCCCTTAATGTAGTCCCTGCATGGGCAGATTCTTCTGTGGGTCGGGTGGGATCCAGCACAGCTGAACAGTAAGAGGTCACCTTGGAAAACACAGTGCTTCCTTCTTGCATCAAAAGAGGGGACCAGAATATCATTTGCAGACTCAATGGTGAGACACTCGATGTTATGCCTAAAAAGGAAAGCAAGTCATCAAAAGTGCAGTGGAGTTTGCGAGAGTTGAGTATACAGTTTCCATCCTTCCTCACTATGGATATAATACTGCACTACATACTAAGTTAAGTAAGATCAGAGGTGCAGATTTTCAGACACTAATTTCTTTTTGCTTGCACAGATTCTCTCTGCAGAGGGCAGCAGAGTCTTTTTTAGCATTACTTCATGTCTTAAAGATTAATTAGAGAAGTTAATAAGGAAAAAACATTTTTGATTGTTCCTCAAATCTGATGTTTTAATATATCATGGATCTCTAGTAAGACAAAACCAAAGAATCTGCAATCAGGAGAAAGTTTCATTGATTTGAGCACAAATCTCTGCCAGGCAAACCACACCACGCCAGGCATCCCTGGGCAGCCCAATGTGAGGCTGAGGTGCTGGCGCTGTGCTGCAGAAGAAAGGAAAACTCAAGTTGCCATTTTCTGACACAAAGCTTAAAAGTATGAAGGTAGCAATTCCAGCAGTCTTTTTTTCCAATTATTCTGGAAACAGTGGTAGCTTTAGAAGTACAATTTAACAGATTTTTTGTCCACAGAAACACAATTTTGTCTAGATAGCTAGAAAAGAAAAGAGCTTGACAGAAACTTTTCATATGTGAGCTGCTTCTGTACTCCGCTGGAAATTACAACTTTTCAAATAAAATATAAAAATAAAATCTGTCTGCAAAGAATATAGAAAAAGGTGAAGATGGAAAACCTGTAAGGCACATTTGCTAGCAGCCATTTTGCAGCCCAGCCTTTGAATGCTTTGCTTTTATTCTGAAAGGAACGGAGGCATGTTCCCAAAGAAATGGCACCTGAAAGCAGCAATAATTTCCTTAATGCATAGCTGGTAAGAACTATAAAGTGGTACTAATACCTCTAAATGCAGCAGGGATCAGAAATCTTTATCCAGGACGCTATTGACAAAAGGTTTGCAGAGATGGTACTTGGAATTATTAATGAATATATGTTTCCCAGTATGGATGTTAATCGTGACCAAAGAGGGAGCTCAATAAATGAAAGAAAAGCAGAACTAGGCACTGCATTAAGATCATGCAAGTAACTGGTAGAAATCACACAATGTGCAGAGAGTTTTATTTACTGCAACAAAACATTTAATTTTTGAATCATTCCCTCCACCGCACTGCCAGCCGTGGCTGGGATTAGTGTAAGGCACCATGCCAGTTCACTAGCTCTCAGGAATATGTGGCAAAAGTAATACAGAACAGTGCACCTGCTCAGCCAAGGCTGCAACATGCCCAAGTTTTACAAGCCCACTCAAACACAATCATAGTCCTGGCATCTGTGATACTGCAGAGTAAGCATCTGTGCTCATTGCAAGCAACTCCATACCAAAGGGCAGCGCAGCGTGCAGAGCGTGCACGTAGGAGGTGGAGGGAAGAAGGAAAAGCTGTGAATTTTTGGCTTGGTGATTGCCTCTGTGCTGTATTCCTCAGTGCAAGAACACATGCTGCATGGAGCAGTGCTGTGGGCACAGCAGTAACTCCTACCATCCGCTGCTGTGAAGGATGGACTGCTGACCTCATGGGTTGCTGCTGCCAAAACACACAGTGCCTCTCGACACCTCCCCTGCTCACAGAGCCCGTGCACTAAGCATCTTATGTGGCAAAAACCAGAGCTATAGAAAGAGACAAATAATATGTTTGTGCATTTGGGTACTTACTTAAGCAGAGCTTTGTCCTTGTTAAGATGCTGGAAGAAGGAAGGCTCACAAATGAGCTGGCTTTCCTGACAAACTTGTTTACAGGATTTTCCAGGTTCAGCAATTTTCACTTGAAGGGCACTTAGTGGGGGCCACATCACTTGCCCATGACAGAAATCCTGCAGTGACAACATTTCATTGTGATGAATCCAGTGTCCCATTAGCAATTTTCTCCATTAATAAAATAAGTGATTATTATTCCAAACACTCATTTAGAGCTCACTGTGGTTGTACTAAAATCACTGTGACAAAGAATAAAAAGAATTTTTTGGTGTGGGCGAACTACCATCTTTCCTAGTTGAAATGGGGTGGTATCATTATTCCCAAAGCAGTTTCTTTCCTACCTTTGATTAATCACAAGTAACTGAATCTCTCTTTACTTCCACATACCCAACCCATTTTGCCTCTATGACTCCTGTTCCACCAGCTCTGTGCTAGCAGAACTATTTTGGTAGCAGCACAAAGTCTAGCAGGAAGTTCCAGGGGTCAGCTACACTGCGGGTGAGACATGTCTCTGTGGCAGGTAGTGAGCCATCTGGGCAGCATCAGGGGAAGTCACAGCAATGCTGAGGAAGTGAACTCAAAAGACTGATGATTTCTATAAGGCAACCAGGGTTCAGAGAGTCTGTTTGTTCTCCTTGATTGAGCTGACAGTCAAAGTGCTCTGCAACAACGAAAGAAACTGGCCCTAATACATGCAGTCAAGTGTCATGTGCAGCAAGAGAGGGAAAGAAGAAATGGTATCCAAATACACCTGCTAACAAAAAAGAAAGTAAAAGTTTTTACAGTCTTGGCATTATAAATGAAAAAAGTAAATAACATTTCACTATAGCTGGCCATTACTTCAGTATTTGGTAACTCTCATCAGATGGGCATCAGAAAGTTTGGGCCCACTCCATCACCATCATGGTTTGCCTTCTCTTGACAAAGCAAATATTTGTACTAACAGGTCCCAGACTGTGACCTAGGGCTTAGAAAGACAGAACTACTTCAAAATTCAATGAAATGAAACCTCCAAACTAAACCAATTCTATCTTTTTTTTCCTCCTCTGTTTAGATTTCCTCTGCTGAAGCAGGAAGCTTTGTACCCACAGCTTTAACCACAAATTTAATATCCTAAATAATCTCTCAAACATCTGATAGCACATAGCAGAAGATCACAGTTAGATCTTATCTGTCTGTGTTTTATGACACTTATTCTGATAAGCAATTTCATATAATCACTGTAAATGAACTGCCAGTTTGTACAGCTGCTTTATCTGATATCATTTTGATGAACCAAAGTAGCAAGAGGCACGTGTACGGAAAGCCATCTAAATGTGCTAGAGAAACAAAATCTGTGCTTCAGGCACAAATTGAGAAGAAACAAAAATTCAGAGAGCAAGAGTGAATTTTCATGAACTCCCACTGCAAATTAATTTTTTTTTTACTCATATTTGTCATTAATAGGTTGCATTAATTTTTTTGGTTTAGTGCATTCTATAACATAAAAAGAATAAACTTTCCTATTTGGAAAAGAGTAATTTTAGTGGGTATTTTTGGCAGAATAATTTTACATAAAACAGGTTAACAATAGGTGGTTTAAAGTATTTCTTAATGAGGTTGTTTCATAAAGGTTGCTTTGTTATTTGGACTCGGGTGCTCTGCTTATTCTGAACTTTTATAAGTAACATTTGTTGCAGAAGGGAATTTCTCTAGGTTACAGTATTGTAAATATTGGATTGGAACCTTAGTTTGTGAGGGTAGAAGGCAAAGTTATTCAAGGACAAGGAAATGTCTTGTGAATCTTCACCATTTGCTGGAAACTTCAGCTTGTAGTATGTCTTAGTGAAAAATATTTCTCCAAATCTAGGCCAACACCAGCCTCCATTTCTGCTCCACAGCCTGATGGGAAGGCTTCCTCAGCACTGCTGCCCTCACAGATACCAGCACACAGAGCTGTGCTGTCACTGGCTGGTTTATCTATCAATTGGGCAACCTAAGTTTGGTAACTTTGGCCCAGTCTATTTTGTCACACAATCCCACACACATAATGTTAAAATAAATAAAAGATGCTATTTAAAACCAACGGTTAAAGTCCAGCACAGTCTGTGGTTACACACGTGCTCCCTATAACCATAATTTCAACATGAGGTGGACTTAGCCTATATAATAAGCAGCTGCTGTCCCTGCTCTTCCCTCCAGCTGAATGCCCTCATCCCGTTCCTTTTGCCACCTTTGGTGCTCAGCTGGGTCAGGTCAGTTTGCTCATTCAGTAGAGAGCAACCACAAGTATTTTCTGCTGGGTTCCCAAGTACTCCTCAGCTGGACCACACTTCTCCAGGTCAGTGTGCCTGCTCAGTCAGCCCTCCTTGGCTCATCCAATTGCTCCAAGTTTGCAGTAGGGAATCCTGCAGCTGCTTTGGGAGCTGCTGCGTACACCTGGCTGACAGCAGAGCTGATCTGGGCAGTCCTACCTTGGGTTTGCATCCCGTGCTGCCCTAGCAGAGCTGACACAGCCATCAGTGGAGTCGCAGAGCCAATAGGACCAAGGGACCTGCTGAGCTGCTGGTTGGGCCAGGAAGAAGGAAGAGTCTGGAGTGAAAGCTGGATCAATCTGGTTAAACGGGGCATTGCAAAGTGACAACAACAGCTCTCAGCAGCTCTCACTCCAGACCCTAAAGACCTTCAGTTCAGCTGCTGGATCTGAAGATGCAGGGTATCCATTATGCCTGTTGTGAGAATGCTGTCCTGACCCTGACCCAAGTGGGGAATTACAGACAATTTTTTGAAATCTGTCAGTTTTGCTGTCCCATAGGGTGACCTACATGTTTGTACATCTGGCTTTTTCACATTCAAAAATTAACACATAGATCACACACACTTAGGCTTAAGGTACCTTGCAACCTTGTGAAAAAGACCAGCTCCTTGCACTCAAGGCGAGGCTGAATGAGGCCCCAGGCAACCTGATCTAGTGACTGTTCTATGATATCCATTCCTGTTCAGAACTTCTGCTTTCTCTGTTCTACCTGTGTCCAACCACAAACTCTTTAAAACTAAGTCTTCACCTCTATTTTTGCTTCATCTGACATGTCAGGCATAGTGCTAAGTAAATGCAGGTAATAACAATACAGAGCATCCTGATGGCTGGGAAGCAATAACAGCTTTTCACAATTAGTCAAGCAACGAACTGTATTTAGTGTGCTGTATTTAGTTCTGAGGAGGTGTGATGAAGGCAAGGTCTTAACCCTGGGGGAGGTGTAGAGGGCAAAGAAACAGCTTAGCATCTTTGGGGCAATCTCTAAATTGACTCTTTCTTCCGTATACTGAGCTCCATACCTTCCTTATTGACAAAACCTCTCATTTACAGCTAACTCAGAAGAATCAAAAGAAGCAGAGAGACTTTTACAGGCTATGATGTCAGTGTAGAAGCAAAAAGCATATCGTGTTTGTTGGCAGGAAGTTGGACAGAGCTATCTTATTTAATCTTTTGATCCGAAGCCATGTTATTCTTTATTACTATCTGTAATACTGTCATATTTTAGAAATACAGGTACAGGAGCCCATCCAGTGTTTCTGAAAGAAATTCCAGAAGTTAATTAGCTTAACAGAGATATAGGTTATTCTTATCACTCTTCTGCAGCAGGCAGAACAAAAGGTAAGAGGTTGGCCTTTGCAGCAGATCTGGCATTGGGCAGAAGTCCAAGCACACATTCAGTTTCTAGAAATCAGGATCTAATGTAATTCTGTCCAGTTTATTATTCCAACTCAATACCTTTTGCTGATCTCAGCATGCAATAACGCAAAAGTCCTTTAAGTTACAGGTTCCCAAACCAACTGTATATTTGAAAAAACTTCCAAGAGGTTTTAGCCTAAGTGTAGTTCTACTGCAAAAGTATCTCTGCATTTATGTGATACTTTGTGATCCAAAGGTTTTTTTGTATGTGTACATTTCAGTGCCAGCTGTAAAAGAAGTCACATTCGTGCTGAAAAATTACTTTGCTTTTCTACTTCTATAAGTCAGCAGAAGAAGGAAGGTTCTTCATATAGATATCTGTCTATATACACATTTATATAATAGTTAAAAAAAAACAAAACCAAACTCCTTTAGCTTCTGAAACACAAACAAGTATAACCACTTTTGCAAAGATATATGGTAAATCAGGCATTCACAGATGAACCAGAAAAGCAGAGTGAATATTCTGGTAGTCAGCACTTTGTCTTCACTGCTCGACAGCCTCTGCATGCAGAAAAATCCCACTGGTACAGTATCAGGTGGGAGCTTCACAAGCCAATGCACAAGTACCCATGTCTGCATCCAGGTGAACCCCATGGGAACCTCATCTGAGCAAGCAATTGTCTAACAAGGGCTGCACACTGTTTCCACCTCAACAGCAACAACATTAGGAGGCTGTAGAATTGAAAGGGTCCCCACTTCCCAATGTAAACCAGAAGATTCACCCACAATAAAAACTCATACCTGTCTTTCAATAAATGCATTCATCCTCTGAAGCATTCCCTCGCAGGTAAATTCATAGGGCAAATAAGGATCAATCTGTTGAAACACAGTGCATTGGGTTAGATGTGTTTTTGTCCAAATGAGCATTGCAGTGCACTGTGGTAGCAGCTTGTATTCCAAATACCATATAATAGAAGCAAATTAACAAATCACAATTTGACAAAGTCATCAATAGTTTAAGCTGATTTTTCCTCCTTTGCAATGGCTATAAAAGTAGCTCAATGATCATCTTTAAGGATATGCCAAATACTAGAATTTCAAGGCTTATTACAACGTAAGAGATACAAAGCTAGCCCGAGACCCTGCTGGATGCCAGTTTCAGTCCTGGAATTGAAGTGAAAAACAAAGCACTGTGACAAAAAAGAATGTGATACTTTCAAAAACATCTTCAGTTTTTTTCCCATTTAGTTTCTTCATAAAGTGTCCTCACTAGAATGCCACTCCATAAGTGTCCAGGCATTTCAGGTTATGCTAAGGCTATTGCATCAGCCAAGAGTGAAGCTGGTACTGGACAGCCCGCAATGCTCTATGAACAACAAGGAAGCCTCAGTGAACGCACAACATATACATTGCTTTATGATTTACAATGAATTTGTATAGAAATGTGAGTTTCATCTCACATTTGTTTTATTCAGGTAAAATCCTGACTTATCCAGTACTAAATCATGATTATCAGATACAACAGGGATAGAATGACAGCATTTTCCCCAATAACCTATGAAGTGCAACACCCTAATTAAACTAACACTATGAGGCAGTCTACTCACGTTCCATGATACACTCTCAAGTGTTGATATCAAATTGAGAATACATTTCTCACCTTTTGATTCAAAATTGATTTCACAGCCTTCTCCACTTCAGAAAGATCATTGATGTCTACAGTCCAAACGTGGGGCTTCCCGATGTAAACTTCAGCATAGGGATGCTGAGATGTTAGCTGCAAGGAAGAAATGGCATTGTTAAAGATGACGGTGCTAGGATTGCTTTCCCCCTCACTCTCTTCACCAGGTTTGGTGAATAAAATATACTAGTAGAATGCAAGAACTCAGCTAGAACTGAACAATTAATTTCATTCCTTCTGAGCTATCTTTCAGATTCTCCATGTTTAAATTCAGAGAGTGAATTGAGTAGGAAAAGTGAAGATCTGGTAAAAGTGCAGCTCATGAGCAACATTTGTATGCTTTCACTTGTGGCTTTGCTTCTCACAACGTCTAACATTGCAGAATAGTTGCTGCTTACATTAATTCCTCTTTGTGCGTCCCAGTCTGCCCTCTGTGCTGGGCACAGCTCTGTCACAGAGCAGTGCCAGCTGTCACAGCTTGCCACTGCTGCCAGGCCTGGTTGGACCCGTGTGACTGGCTGCCAGAGCTGGCACCTTTGCCCTGTCTCTCCAAATTTCCAACAGTTCCAAGCTTCTATGAGCAGCAGTGTATAAAAGATCATTTCTATAACTCAGGATGAATTATGACTGCTATTTCTGTTGCTACTGTTACTACAAGCATCATTTGACATCAAGGAGAGTGTTAACTGCTATTTTGCTCAACCCTTGGTCAGAAAGCAATTTCAATAAATATTCCAAGATAACCAAGAAAAGTGATCCCAGAGATGGCTTGTTAGATTCCTCAGCTAGCAGGATGGCACTGCAAGTGAATTTTGTGACAGCTTTCACCATCCTTGCTCTCTTTCTCACCTAAACACAAGGTTGGTTAGTTAGTTAACTGGAGCTACTCAACTGCCTGAGTTCCTAGGATGCTTCTGTTTGAACTTTACACTGCAGAAGCTGCATTTCTATTGCTTTCAGTTCCAACAAAAAAAATCTTCCACTGTACTTTTAAAAACATGAGCATAGTCAGTCCTTCAAATTCCACAAAGTCTTAGGAGTCAGGCACTAGACCACTCTTCCTCTACCATCTCAGTAGGCAGAGAACAATGTTACAGCCAGGTCAGATTTGGAAGATGAACAACTGTACTTCCTAGGCTAGTAACTGTTTGAGCACTGAGAATAACCAACAACGTGTTCTTACTGCAGCAGACATTCTGCACCTGTACTCACAAAAAATTAAAACCATTTCTAATACTGAAATGTTTTAATTAGCTGAGGCTTGATATTTTAGATACTCATCTGGCTATAATTAAGACTTATTAGAATACTTCTAAGTAGATTCAAAATTAATTTCTAATTTAAAGTCCTTTTGCTCCCTAAAAGCAGAAAATTATTTCTGTGGGGAAAGAAACCACACCCATCAAACACATTTCAACTAGATTTACTTAGCATACAGTGTTTTCTTTTTCATTTTTTTGCAAGGAAGAGAAATGGAGAGGAGCTCTTGGTACAAACGCTGGTATCAAAGAAGCTATTGGAAGGTGAATTTCTCTGTTTTTTTTTCCTTCCTGTTTCTCTTACCTGGTAGAGTGGAAGCAGGTAACTGCCCACCCTACTTAGAACACGTGGGAAATAGCAATTTGCAATGGTCAACTTTACTGTAAAAAATACAGAGTTAATTTTCAAATTGGTCAGTGGATAATGAATTAATTTTCAGAATTACACAAATGTTTGTTGTTAGTACTTGAAAAACCTGGTAGAGGGATGGAAGAACTTTTCTAAACTCAAGAAATCAGCACCAAGATAAGTGGATCTAAATGCAGTTGTGGAAACCAGTTACAGCAAAGGTTACTTTTCTGACAGATCAACTGAGCACATGAATGGAGTAACATTTGTGAAGAATGTTCACTGTATTGTTTTGTACTGAGCTGTCAGTAGGGATTATTTTTCTGTGCAGGTCAACTGCACAATATTTCTGTTACAGCTGACAGATGTTAGCAGGATTTAGCAGAACATTCCATGCACTAAAACTCCTACTAGAGGTAGGTGGGTCACAAGCAGCCTGACTAGTTTGGGCACAGAACAACTTTTAGAAGAGAGAGACAGGTGAGCAACTCAGAGAAGGAAAGCTCTGAGAAGTGCCAAGTCCAAGGAGAAGGTTCAAATGGGCTTCTTTTCATTATTGCTATCTCCTTTGGTGGTAGCAATGCAAACTGTGGGAAGGGCTGAGGTATGATGAGCTGAAAGGTACTTACAGCTCTGGCACGCAAACTTATAATCAACTTCTGTTCATGGCTGTAAATAGAAACTGTCCTTCGCCCCTCAGCATGCTGGCACTGCTCAGTACACAGTTCATAAAGCCAAAACACAGCATCAGTTAGGAGATACTACTGTGCAAACTTCTCATCACCTAAGCATTCCTTCGGATAAGTATGTAAAGGAAATACCTATACACATCTATGAAGAAGTTATGGTCACAAGTAAAAGACTTGGTATCAGAAAAGGTTACGTGACTACTAAATGCCTGCAGGTGTTGTAGGCTTGTGCCAGAGCTGGCTGGCTTGCTTAGCCTTGTTCTTCTCTTAACAGAGGCTAGACACTCTGGCTGTTTTGTAAGCTTAAGGTTTAGTTTTCCTCTTATCTCAAATAGTCAGTTCTCCAAATTCATTCTGTGTTCAACTGCAAATAGGGTGTGTTGTTAGCATTAATAGCAGTGCTCAACCGTGCCTGAATAGATTTTTTTCTAGAGAAAAAAATAAATATAAAAACATACACAACAATCCTACAAAAGCTATTCTAAGAATTAAGACATTTATTTAGTTCCTGTGAAGAACACAGTAACATGTTTCTTCCACTAAGTAAAAATGCTTCCCAACAACACATCATGCATGACCTGTTCCAGGTCAGAACATCAGCTGTACAAATAGAGTTTAGTTTATGGTCTGTGAATAAGAATTAGCAGAACATACACACAGACACAAAGGTAAAGTTTAACAGTACGTGAATAAGAACTGCTAATCCCACTGATGGCTAATGAAAACCACAGTTGTACACTTCTTGCAATAAACCGTGAGCATTTATGCAACTTCTATATTGTGTTACTAAAAAGAAATCCACAATCATTTTCAATAAAGAACCATCAATATTAACATATCAATATTAACAAAGCTTACCTCTCGGAGTGTTGGTTTGCCTTTGAAAAATTCTGTGTTTTTGCTACTTTTTGGTGGATTAAATCTTAAGTTCAGAAAAGCACATCCGTTAGCAATAGCCTCTAAAGGAGCAGGCCCTTCATAGGGAAATCCAAGACCAACAAACAGCTGAAAAGCAGAAAAGAAGGTCTGTCTTAATGTTTGTTCTTTACAAAAATTGAAAGCTAAGGGCTAACACAAAATAAATAATCACACACTCAAAATATACAAGCCTACAAAAAACAACATTAAGAAGAAAATGTGATTCAGCAGCTCACTCCCTCATACCCAAGCAGTAATGGAATGTCCTGTCAAACACATTTGACAATAATCTTCTGTCATGAACTAAGATGGCTTTTCATGTAGCTGAAGAAACAGCAGACCCTTTCAATTTTTTTTTTTTTTTTTTGGGGGGGGGGGATGGAGGGTGAAATCATTTGGTGATTTGATTGATATTCAAATGAAACTCCTGGGCTGCCTTGCAGGTACAAGTTTTATTGCAGTAACCGCACCGAACAGCCTCAGTACTGTTCTCCCTCTCTCTCACATCAGCTAACTAGATGGTTTTGCCAACATGAACACGATCCTGGCAAGCCGGTTGAGTCTAATTAAAACGGTAGGTGGCAGCAAACATCAACTGAAGACACTGAGTAGTCAGCAGAGGTTTGCAAAGGATTAAGTGGATTCAACGCCCCAAGGTACACTGCAGGAGGTAAACTGCATCACAAAGCTATTCCTATAGTCAGCTTCAGCACAAAGCTATTCTTATTGTCAGCTGAGATGACAGGTGCTGTAGAAAAAGCAGCGTTTTTCCTCAATGTGAAGAAATCTAGTATTTTGTCAGAGTTGCACAGCGTTTACTTGTATCTTGATCCCTTTCTTGGCCTAGCATAATTCCTGAATTAAATAATTTTATTTGAAAGTATAATGCTATAATGAAAAGCTCTGATGATAACAGCAACGTCTCAGCAATTCTTGACAACCTTATATACATGCATATGTGTTTATATAGCTACTCATTTTTTCAGAATGAAAGGGACTCTTTGTAACTGTTAGAATATTGGAATTCATGTATTAGAATTGTGATCAGAACCACGTATTCAAGAAATTCCAATGACACTATTCTCCATTGTTTTCTGCAGCATGGAAATGAATGCTAGTAACACAAGATTCACAACTGATGGCCCATTCTAGGAGCTAACCTCACCTCAATACACAGACTTGTAGTCAGCAGTGCTGTGCACAGACATTGCAGCATTGGCCCTGTCTGACCCATGACAACAGTATTTTTCTAGGCTGGCCATCCAAAAAGAAGGTTAACCTTCTCACCTTGTTTAAGAACATACAATTTTCACAGCATGGAGCTGAATGTTGGTTCTTCAGTTTTCAATTTTCAGGTTAAAAAAAGTCATTCACTTGCACAATGCTTCTCAGCCATCTTGCTGAGAAATCTTACAGGAAATGCTCCAGTAGCTGATAAAAAAAGATCTCAACAACTATTTCCATCAAAGCTAGATTATATAAATTTGGTTTCATATGCGGCGTAAGATATATTATCTTACAGTTTAAAAAAAAAAAAAAAAAGGAAAAAGCAAACATACTAAATTTCACACCAAAAGAGGTTTAATTTAAAGGAAGGAAATCTTTTGAAAAGAATTAGATGTGAAACTATTTCATACAATCTGCACGCAGGATGTTTGCTTTTTTGTAAAACTACTCCTTAGCTTAGGCAAAAAACTAGCTGAGAACCAGCAATTAAAACCATCTGAAGCATCAATTCTCCTATGATCCTGTATTTGCCTATTATGTAGAGAATGCAGGTTTGTTTGTTTCATTTTTCACTTTTTTAATAAGCTGCTGCTGTGCACTGTTGAACAGTTTTGTGTCTGACTGGTCCGTTTACTTAGGAGGAAGCTCCATGGGGAAAGAAACATGTTTTTATGTTTTGACAGCCCAGAGCACACAGTCAACACTTAATCTATAATAAATAGCCTACCACCTGTTTCACATCAATTTTCAAGCCTTACTTCTAAGCAGCAGCATACCTTTGAAGAAATAAAGGAAGATGTTCCTTATGGCTAGAACGGTGGTTTGGTGTGCATTGCCTGCTGGCCCTGGGCCTCACACTGCAGCCCCCAGCTCCTCCTTTCAGCCCCCCTAATTCCTCCAGCACTCTCCCTCACATCATCTTCATTAGCTCAGCTGAGATCCCCAGAGTGAATCTACACCCTGCTGCTGGAAACTGGTCTTACTGAAGTTCCTTGCTTAATATGAAGTAAAGACTGTGTGGAGAGAAGGCTCTCACCCAGCTGATTTAGGACAGACTATATTTCTACATGCTTGTGACACAAAACAACACTGCTGCCTCCACACCGGGCTCCTGACCACGGCTCTCTTCCCACATGCTGAGCCTGTGCAGACCCGACTGCTTCACCCTGTGGCTGCAGCTCCATAATGAAAAGCTTCACATTTGAGCATGTTGGCAGCGTGACCGTGGGCACACATCCAGGAAGGCTGGCCATGATCTTGACTTGCTAGCTGGAGCAAAACTGCTATGCAAAGTAGAATTCCCTTATCCGTCACTGGTAAGTTAATGCTTGAAAGCACTTCATTCTGTATGTGAGCATTTTTCTCAACTTCAAAATGTTTTAGAAAGCCACACCGTTATTATTCACGCAGTTCTTTAAGTGGGCACATGCCACAGTAGGCGGTGTATGCTTACACCATATGTAACGAGATGATTGCCAGGAGGAGTTTACAGTATAAAAGTGTATCTACAGGAGATAACAGCAAGATAAATATAGATGTGAAATGATTATTAGCATCGTTTTTCTTTCGTTTCCTTTTTTTTAACCACTTCCTTGTTTGCAAGGTCTGGTACCCATGTGCACCTGCAGATCTGCACAAATCAAAGATGGGGATTCGGATCTGCAATCTCACTTGCACAGCTTAAACAAATACACAGGTGTTGAAACCTTTACAGGATTCCTTTGGTTTATCATAAGGTTGGCTCTTCAGAAACCTTTTCTGCCTTTGCAGTGAAATGAACTCCTGCTACAGAATTTCAGGCTCTTGAGCTGGCCAGTGTGCATCACAGCACCCAAAACACCACTTTTCTGATCATGTCAGCATTTCTGTCATGGTGCAGTAGCTAAATGGGGACTTCTCTGGCATGATATCTGACATGACAAGCACTTTGCAACCACTGTCATGAAAAGCAAATTTAAAATTATGTATTGTTTGAAATCAGTGACTTTCAGTTAACGCTAAGCAATTTACCCATGGAATTTACACCAACATATTGGGTTATTAAAATGAGTTCTTGAAGAAATAATCTAAATTACAGCCCTAAGTATAAAACAAGGGCTGAATATTTTAACTATATAATCCTGAACAGCGGAACAGAAATATTTCATATTTCAGAGATTAAGTGCTGCAGCTCCACAAACAGGAGTGTTTCTCTTTTTCTCTTCCCTTCCTAGCATCAGTGCACTTCATCTCATTGACTCTGTTGGGCTAGTAGTTTATTGTTGCTTTTGTGTGCCTCTTTACTGGACTATTTTGTATATTCTCTTCTGAACTATGGAAAGAGAAGTACAGCAAAGTCTGTAGTTTACTATCTCAATACATTTTCCTCATTAATATAAAATTCCTTCTGAAAAAGTTTTTCCTTTTGTGATTGAAATATCTTCACAACAGATTCGCTTTTAAAATGCCTGTTCAGGTGTTTTTTGATGAGTCTGGAAGTGAGAAGTACATTACTTCATAAAAGGCAATATCAAAAAAGGTTCAAGTTCATTTTTCTATTTATGCTTATCACAGAATCGTGAGGGTTGGAAGGGACCTCAAGGACCATGAATCTCCAACCTCCCTGCCACATGCAGGGCCACCAACTTCCTCATTTAATGCTAGACCAGGCTGCCCAGGGCCCCATCCAACCTGGCCTTGAACACTTCCAGGGACAGGGCATCCACAACCTCTCTGGGCAGCCTATTCCAGCACCTCACCATTCTCTCTGTAAAGAATTTCCCCCTGACGTCCAACCTAAGTCTCCCCTACCTCAACTAAAACCATTTCTCCTCATCCTGCAGTTATCAACCCTTTCAAAGAGTTGATTCCCCTCCCCTCTGTAGGCTCCCTTTAGGTACTGAAAGGCTGCATTGAGGTCACCCTGCAGCCTTCTTTTCTCCAGGCTGAACAAGCCCAGCTCTCTCAGCCTATCTTCACAGGGGAGGTGCACTACTTTCATTAATCATCATTCCGAAAGCATAAATGACTGTTCAGTAGAAGAATTTGGATTCCCTCAAAAATTTGCAAGGACAGGGAGCACAAAGTTGCACCTGAAACTTTCTTAAAAGGAGGAGTGTTTCTCAAAATCTCAGTGCTGGTTCTCCCAGGACAGCCTGGTGCCAGCCCAGCTGTGAGCAGGAGAGTTGGCATGGAGGCTGCATCTTGCCTTCTTCTGTTGCTCTGAGGTGCTGAATGGATCCATATCTTCTCAGGAATTGCTGCATCTCTCCCGCTTGTTATACACCACACAGCTGAACTAGCCAAGATGGATGTTGAGTAGCACCGCTTAAGAAACACACTTATGCTGAAATGGATTGCTTTGTGATGTACTCTAGGAGAAAATGGCAGCTGCATGCTTTTGAGAATAACTGTGTCCTATACCAAGTACCAAATATGAACAAAAACCTTGTCTGAGCTGTTACCTTTGGAATTTTCTGTTTAAAGGCAAAATAAAGTGCTGGAAAGTAAGCTGACAGGTGTGGGTCACTTCAGTTGGGTGACTTGTTGAAGTATTATTTAGCTCTGACTTTCTAAAACTAGATCATTTCCAAACTGACCTGACAAAAATGTGCTACCACAATGTTGAAATTATATATGATGAAAGAATCTTTGCCCTTGGATCTTGCAGTGTATGTTTAGAAAGAGAAATCAAAAAGTTTCCGGAAGCTTAACGGGAAAGTTTGTTGCTTAGAGCCAGTGAGCAGCAGGCTAGATGGCTCAAGTGACTTCTGCACACACACATGTTGCCACCAGTGAGGTACAGCTCCTGTTGTTCACGGATTTTCAGCACACTGATTGTTCAGTGACAAAAAACCTTAACTAAATTCATTATGGGGCCTGGTCACGTTGCCTGGCAATTAAAGTGATTATGATTAAAAAGTATCCTTGGACATCACTGGATGCATGTGCACACTCACAGGAAGCTTCTCAGGGCACAATGCTCCCTTTCAAGTCAGCTTGATTTCTGTGAAAAGCCCGCACTGATGCTAGCAATTCAATGCCAGGAACTATTGATATCAACATGATGAATTCACAAATGTAGCAGATGGCAAATGGAGACAGGTGAATGGTGCTTTATACTAAGCTATGTTAAAATGTTATCTCAAAGGAGATCAGAATCAGAAACTGTGAATGTACAGGCAACAAGAAGACTTAGATCAAGCATGTAGATTAACACTAAGAATCAACCATATGCTAAAGCAGAAAAGCCATGGAACCTATGAGATGCTAAACATCAGTTAGCAAAAACTAAAATAAAATCCCAAATAAAAAAATCAAACAGCTCCAACTGAAAAAGTGCAATTCAATTAGATGATAATTCTCAGTTTCCACTTTCAGTATCAGGATGCCACTGTTTTTATCTTGAGCTAGGTATATTGGAACAAGAATTATACAGGGGTAATAACCAAAACTAATGGTGCAGTAAGATATATTTCATTATCAGAACTACATTGCACTCTGATTGGTCTGACGATAAAACAAAATAATTATTAGGAGAATTGGATGGACTCCTAACTGCTTATTATCAGGCCAAAGGTTTGTTAGCCTGGTTACATCTTTTAATTTTTCTGAACCACAGTGTGTTTCTTGGCCATCTGATAAAAATAATGCAGTACATTTTGAAAGAATTTTCGTCAGTGGTAGGTGAAAAACAAACCACCAATGCACAATAGAATAGAAAATCAAGTGCCTGCAGGACTCTGAAAAGAGTATAGATTGAATCCACACTTCTCACAGAAATTCAGTTTGTGAGAAATAAACAACTTGCTGATTACAGGAGTACCTTGCCTCTATAAGCTAGGATCCTCCATTGGATCTCACTAGTCAAAGTATGGAGTAAAACTAGACTTGCTACTTCGATCATAAAACCCTGTGCTTAACTGTAAAACACACATTAACTTGAATTTGTCCTAAGTTATATCTTTATGTTGCATCTTAGCATATACCAAATATAACCACTAACTGGAGGAGCTATCCAGTTAATAATAAAAATAACATTTTTTAGTATAATACATCTAAGTCAGCTGATAATGAATTAGAGATGAAGATTTACTCAAACATAACTTGTATTATGAACTGCTGCTTTTTTTTTTTAATTAATTATAAGGATACCAGTAATTCTGCAGGAAACTCATTAATTTAGTTTACTATTCCACTCAATAAAATGTATTTTTTTTTTCCACAAGATGTGGTTGTTTATGCTTGGGGTTATTACAATGTCAAAATTCCACCCACATTAGTAATGTGGTTAATACAGTGATTTCATACTCCACGAGGGTAAAAGCTGTGTAATCTCAGTATTATCTGTGATGAATGTGAATGTTGACTTTTTAATCTGCAACATTATGTGCATCTGTAGTATGAAGTACATACACCCAGTGGTTGCCTTTAAAAAGTCATAATTTGCCAACAATTGTCACGCAGAGATGTCAAATTACCATCATTTCCCCCAGCATTCAAAGGAGATCTCTACTGTTATGTGGGAAGACTGGAAAATGCTTTTTCTTTTCTTTTTTAATAGATTCTTCTGTGGATGTGCACAGCAAGAAACCATCAACAGTGGAGAGTAAGTTCTATATGTTTTGCTAATTTTAAATACACAACCCCATTTATTTCACCAACTGAAAGATAAACATTCTATTTAAATGTAATATACTAAGCATCTTAGTGATGTAAAATGTTCCACAAGGATTATGGGAATGGCAATGAAAATCCAACAAAGCATTCCAATTGCAGGGACAAAAGCTTATTTATTTAAATGTATACACTGTCCCTTATCTTGACCTCCCTCGACGACAAAGCCACAGGCAAAGCATACCACAAAAAGCATACTCTTCTGCTCTCTCTCATCTCTGCACAACTGGAGCAGAGGGAAGGAAATGAATGGAGAATGAGGGGTTTGCCTTTATTCTTTTCCTCCCTACAGAATGGGGTCACTTTATGTTAAAGTCATTGGTAGGGCAAAGCAAGCATTCCAGTTGTATAGCTTTCATATAATACTTAAGTTTCACATTATGGATCTAAAACAAAGTATTCTCTCAGCTGATAATCTCCTTGAGCCGAATACAACATTTAGGAAAATGAAACAAATTTAGCCATGTTTTTCAAGCTCGTTGTTAAATGTCTCCCCTAGATTGTAGGTAGTCGTCCCAATTTTCTAGTAGTAGCTGTCAATCCAAAAAACACGGGCATAATCACAAAGGTGTTATTAGCGTATGGAAGAAAATTAAATCTCCTTTTCATTGGTTCATTTATATTTCCAGTACTTTAAAATTAGGAGCACAGTTGTAGGAGGTGAAATGCATGCACTTCAGATACTGTCTCTACCTACTTTTGCTATTTTTCCTTAACAAATTTACCTTGGTTTCTCTCAGTAGAAACTGCAGATCCCGCCCACTGAGTATACCATGGTTTTTTACATAGCCAGGAATATAAATCGTGCTTGTCCCATGAACAGTTCCATGGACTTCCATATAGGTGTGAATGACATCCAGATAAGCCTTCTTGTCCTGTAATAGCAACAATAAAATATTTTCAGGCTTTACACATTTCAAGCAGAGATTAAGATAAGATACCAAAATGACAGAAAAGGAAGAATTTTCTCATTCTCACATTTTCTTGCACGATTCCTCACACGGTCACTCTTACATTTTCTCTATGTGACTCACATGATATCCAATCTTTCATTAAATTTTTAGTTTTCTTTTTCATTAGTTTCAAAAAAAAAACATTTAACATTTGTAATATATGTAATAAATAAATAAATACCAAGGTTCTATTAATTTCTAACTGGATAAAACATCGGTCACCAGGTAGTTGTATACTCAGCACTGCCTAAACAGTACTTGTCTTCAAATTGTGAAAACAAAAAACAGTAACAAGCCCAGAACAAGAAAAGCTATAAATGACCTCACTGCAAAATATCAAATTGTCACTCTGATTTTCTTGGAGACGTAGCAAAGTAATTGTTCACCTTCTTTGTGAAGAAAAGCTTGAATCTCACCTTACAAGCTACACTCCTGCCAAATGACATCGTCTTATCTAAATGTGTAGTATCTGAGGCTCATGACATACCTGCAAATATTCCAATTACCTAAAGTTTAAAAAGCACTTTGGAAAACACCCAGAGTAAACTGATTTATACTGTTGCATTAAACAAAATAAAAAGCCCACAAGAAAACAGTATACCATCCTAATTTGCAAACAAGAATTACTTTTAATATTCAGTGCCATATGTTTTTTTGAGTTTTAAAGACTACTAGTATTCCAAAAGCAATTAGCTAAAGACTGCATTTACAGTCAGTATGCAGCAGAGATCAGAGACTTCCCCTCAATATTTGCACATAGTCTTAGTAATGACTCTAAAATTAGGCAACAAGTTTCTTAACTTCTTGGCAGCAAGACAGTGTTTAAGAACTACTTCAAATCACTACTTTTGTCATGTAAATTCTGTACCCCGATCTTCACAGCCCTGTGTGATAGCTTAGCTGGCAACAATTTTACCAAAGTTCATTCAAAGGGCAAGTTAACTGGGAAAAAACCTGTCTTTTCAGATCTTGGAGAAGCAATAGGGCATCAGGCCTGGATGAATGAACATCAATACTTCCTAGTACATCCTTCCTAAATGAACTGTTGATACACACTCAAATGCACGGGTTATTTAATGTCATGTAATGATCGGCTTCTTGCTTTTGCTACCTCTGCTGCTAGGACTGTAGCTGATGAAGTGAACTGCCTGTCTCATTACTGAATCACTCTGTTCTGCTAGGTCGGCCAAGACTGCACCATTCAATGTCCTGTGTTAAGCATTATGTAAAATAGGCAACAAATGGAGACAAAGGGTTGCTGTTATTGTTAATTAATACATGGCATTTTTTAAAAAATAAGCTTTTTGCTTCTATTTCAAATCTGAAGAGATGTTCCTCCCATTATTAGTAAAATAAAGTAACATAATTAGAAACTTAGAGAAGCTCATACATTTTGTTAAAAGAAAATCAATTCCAAAACTTTGCATTCTTTCTTACACCTCAAGTCTTGGCTATTTTTGGAATCAGAGAAGATAAATCTCTGATTTGAACTAGCTCTGCTGCCACCTTATTCTTACCCATTATCTCAATTTCAAAGACTAACATGAAATGGACCAACACAACTGTCCCATTTTCACATCCTGCTTGTATATGATGACAATAAAAATCTAGAGGGTTTCTGAGAAACACCTGTGATGTCCATTACAAAAGTTGCTGGAAACATTCTTTGATACATATAATGGACATAGAATTCATCCTAAAAATATTTCCCAAATCACATGTTAACAAAGTGAATATTCCTACTGTGTTTGTGCCATCTTCTATCTAAATTCCAGCAACTGCTTGCTACAAAACAAGGAATGCAGGGTTAAAGGAGGATGAAAAGAGTAGGCATCCATGCTGTATTTATAGTTGCACTTTTTGGGGAGTAGGGAAGGTCTTAAATGACAAAAATATTCTGAACACTTAGAACAATGAATTATAAAATAAGAAAGCATAGGTATAGCCTTTAGAAATACAAGGACTGCAAGTAAATAAAGAAATATGATGTGCAAACAAAATAAGAGCATTCCTTTCATTGTTAAACCACTTCCTGAGTTTGTTTTGCTTGCGGATTTAAATTTTCTTTAATCTTAAAAAAAAAAAAAGTAGTAAACTCCTCATTTTTACTTTACCTAAAGTTAGTTCAAAGAGGATCAAAGAAATGCAGAGATCATGATCATGGGCTGCTGGCTAGTAAAGCAATATCAGACTGCTCTTCACAGTCTGGGTCAAGCTGCATTATTCACTATATTCATTTTCTGAAATGCAAAACTTAAGAGCGTGAAATATTATTGCATCAAAATAGAGCAAATTATTTCTCCTCAGAATCAAAATGGAAGGGCAGCAGTAACAAACAGGCATACAAGCTCTTTCTGAAACGAGTTTTTAGCAGCTAAAATAAACTTGCCATTCAAGAAAAGTGTATTTGTTGATCACTGAGTGAAGAACTGTCATTACCGTACATCAGTTATTTCCACCTACCTTCAAAGGCATTGTAAGGCCTTTCTTGTCAAAGCAATCAAATGACAACAGGCTGATAAGTCTTTCCATAAGAAAATGCTGGCAGGGAGGTGCAGCATGAAGGCTGAAATTTTACATTTGGTGCATCAAAAAGTAAAAGCATAAAGTGCAACAAAAGTACATGGCAGAAACATGATGAATGAAGAACTAAATTCTGCTTTTTTCTTGTCATGATAAAGGACACCCATGTATTACTTTGTGATACACTTTGTCAGTGTAAAGATTTCATGCATTTTTGCAATTTTAGACCACTTGAGTAACAACACAGAATATTAGAAATTCAGCAAGGAACAAAACTAACCACCACATGCACAGAACTGCAGGCTTATTACATTACACAAATCTCGATACAGAGTCCCAAACCAGATGAAGGGGTTGAAAGTTCAAACTGTAAAACAGGCATATAACCAGTCCCATCTTCAAACAATGAAACAAGTCAGAACACAATTATTTTTACACAAGTTGAGAAACATAATACAGAGAAGAAAGAATTACTGCAACAGTTCTTTGTGTATTTCCGAAGTGCATACTGTTAAGTCTCAAGGTTCAAACACCAGAGTGCTTATTTGCTAAAAGTCCAAGGTCAGCCAAAACCCAGTGGTATGTTCACAGTGCATAACTGAGCCTGATGCAGGCATAAGATGCTTAAGAAGCTTTGAAAAAAATCTTCATTTTTGCATTAGATCAAGATTAGACCATGCTTAGAAGATAGGTCTTAAGAGATCTCAAAAACTGGTCAAGGAATGCTTTATCAGTAATCAGATAATTCCCTGGGTTGAAAAAAATCTGGAAGGAGAGAGAATATGTAAAGGAAGTATTATATAACCTTACAGTGCTTTTGTGTTCCCTGAATGTCTGTTTATGAACCTCTTGTTAGGCACTCACCTCAAATGCCTGTACAAAACATACACTGGCACATACATAGATAGTATTTGTTTGCATAAATATAGATATACATATATATTTGCACAAGGAATGAATAAAGCACCTCAATAAAGACCAGTATTTATCTATGTCACTGATCATTCCCTCCATTTATTCCTTAAAATTTTTTTTACAATTACATTATTATTTTTATCAGTGAGATTTTTAGAAGATTTGCCAATTTCATTGTTATCCAGTGCTTATTAATGCCTAAACAAAGAATTTCCTGCTCTTTGAATGGCAATTTCCAGAACTAACAATATGAAGTACTTGTGCACTATAAGCACTGAAGCAGGAAAGTACAGGGGTACAAGAGAAATTAGCAAGTGAGACCACAGGAAGAAAAAGTTGTTGTGTTGGTTTTGTGGTAAGCAAATATTACTAGACAATGATGTTGATTGGTACCACCTGACTAGTTTATAGGGCAGCTGCACAGATCTGAAAAAAAGTGAAGCTGATCACTGACTAAAGTGTTTATTTCAGCTTACTAAGTGGCATAAAGGACAGTGCTCTTGGTGAGCAGTGGCAGCAGCAAAGGCAAGTTTTAATCGATAGAAAAGCTCACAGTGCTGCTGCAAATTTGAAGGACAAGAAAAAAACTACGAGGTAAGTTTGTGAGTGCACTGAGCAGGTGAGAGAGAAAAGGTGAGAAGGATCTTTTCCCTTATGTTTCTTCTCACTCCAAAAGTGAAATGAAACATTCATTCAAAGTATATCAGTAAATCTGAAGCACAAAAAAACAATCAGAAGGAAGAGAAATGCAATGCTGCCAGCAGCAAAACACCGATCTTTGCTCATAATAGAAACATTCCCTAGAAGTGTAGTTTTTCCTGGCTTTGCCCCATCTTATTCTTCCCAATTCATCCAACATGGAATACAGTGGGGAAATAACACGTCACACAGAGCTATAAAGGGGAAAGTTTTGTATAAATAGCCTTGGGTATGTACTTTCCCAATAAAAACTAGCTGAAGTGTAAACGTTCCCACTTACAATTCTTCAAAACTTGCTCTGCAGACATTACACACTTAAGAATACACACCTCGTCCAGGGGCATTAGCAACAAACATAAATGCGTCTTTCAACATAAAAATATTCTTAAAGCAGCTGCAATGAATGTAACACAACGTTTTACTAAAGCAATCATAATACAAATGTGAAGCTACATTTTGATGAGTATTTTCTCATTCAGGTCAAATTTTGCCTTCTCTCATGTCAGCCTGCAAAACTAGAATTTAAAATGAATCTTGACTCTTTTCTTTCTACAGTTGAGGGCAGAATTATTGGAATTATAAGTAAGATGGGAAACTGCAGGAAGAACAAGAAAAAATAGACCTATAGGAGCTAAGAAGATGTGAAAGGCTTCTAGCATCCCCTTTTAATTGAAATGCTCTGTAATTAAATCCAATTTTGATAATGGAAAGCATTATGTGTTTTACTGAGATTTTATCTATTCCTTCTACGTCACTTAGATAGACAGAGGTCTCTCTTTATTCCTTAGTCCTGTTAGAAATCCCAGATAAAAACTCTAAACCTCTGTCTATAAACATTCAAAACTTGGCAAGTGTTACCCACAATAGCTTATATATAAGGATAATCTTTAGAAATGCAGGGAAATTCTTCATGGCCTCTTATTTGTAATCCTCAACCCACTTAAGTCTTACTTATTTATCAGAAGGAAGTAAACAAGACGACATTTCTTACAGTCTCTGCAGCACACATCCTTCTCGACCTCCAGCAAGACATACCTAAGCACTGCAAAGTGGTACTAAAGCCACTGGTCTCAGGTCATAGGCCCATATATTTTTCATACATTTCTCTGTATCCATCAGCGCAGATAGAACAGGGGTCACTATATTCCTCTTTCTACCACTTATTTTCATATCAGAATTTAACCCCACTGAACGATGTGGCAAGACAGAACACTGTCTGCAAGCAATCCACTGCTCTCTTTAGCTACAATAACCTTGTTAGTTTATCAGTTTAAGCAGATGGTCTGAACTAGCCTCATCACCTCTGGTCATGCAGCAGAGCTGGGAATAGGAGGATTTCTAGCAAAGATGAAGTGACGACTAAATTGGGATCTTTCTTCTACAGGCTTAGCTAGATGCAAAGAAGGAGCTGCAATCATGGTTATATGATGGCATATTAGTATTTCTAGCCTCTCTCCCAGGAAAAAAGAAAAAAAATGAACTCTGAGCTGACAATATGGTCTCCCTGGTTCCATTTCAATCCATTTGGTCTAAAATTAAGCAAGTTATTTGTTACTAATATTCCAAAAAAGCCTTTCAATTTAGGAATCAGAACACTCTTCCCTTCACACTATGCTTCTCTAATGACTGACCAGAACCAACAGTGACACACAGTGGAAATTACACTTTTTGTTAACTGGCTTCATTCAGTATAAAGACAAGTAGCAGGACAAACAGATCAGTCCAGTTCAGTACAACCATGGCAGCAGATGAAAAGAGCACTGAACAAGGAAAACGAAGGAAACGAGAAATAAGCAGTTACACAGACACAAGATTAGTTCAGGCTTATTGTTGATGACAAGAATTGGACTTTATCACTCCAAATAAGACATCCCACATTGTCACCAATTCAAATTCTGTCTTCATTGATTGCACTTCACATACAATGTGGGCATGACTACAGTTACAGTTATGATGTGCTTGGTGTAACAAGCTATCAGGAAGCAGTTTAATATGGCCAAAAATTATGTCCTACATTTTTGGAGAAACAAGGCAGGCAATACTAATTGAAATGGAGCAGTGAGTTGGAAAGTAGCATTTCTAAAAAAACATGACTCAAGGATCTTGGATGATAATTAATCTGAACAAAAGTTCCTAATGGTGAAGAGGATGTGTATAATAACGCATAAATTTTTTGTTTTTTATTTTGGTGCTAGTAAAAGGCCCAAATGACCTTTGCTAACATTCACTCTTCCTAGAGGAATGTGAACAATCTTGAAAAGGTTCAGAGAAAACAGATGTGTGAGAACACTTAAGACTCAGAAACTTCAGAGCTCTCAGCAGCTCAATACATGCACATAGGCTTTTCAAAAGATAACTATGGGTTTCCTTTACCATAACCAATATAATGGGTAAATAAGAGCAACATCATCAATCCAGTAGTAAAGCCTACAACTGCTACTAAGAGTGGAAATTATAGTCTAGAAATTTGTACAAGAATAAAAATAAATCACAGCCATAAAGGAGAAGGCAATTAAGAAATTAATCAGAGGAAGTAGTAAGGTTTCCATTGTGTGCTATTTAAAACTCATTATAGGATGTTCTTTTCCAAAAAGCCATGTTCTTGCTTTAATCAGCTCATGAGTATCCTGTATGTCACACAGAATCTCAGAGTAGACAATCACAAGTCTCCCCCTCTGGGCAGATAATCTATTAATACATATTTCTGAATTAATGAAGACTGAGAAAGACATATATGTCAGTGAAAAGAAACCCACCACTAGCGACCTACCAAATATCTTGTTCCTTAAATCCAGCTAATGCTCAACAGGTTGATCTACTGACACAAAGTAGAAATCAGGTCAGAAAGCACAGATGACTATTACATGCAACTGAGAGACTGATAATGAGATCAGAAACTAAACGTGCAAGAGCTTCAGCCACAAGAGACTTGAATTTAAGGATCTTAGCTCTGCGCCAGTGCTGTGCAGGCAAAGTGGACTGCAAACGGGGACACAGCAAGTCATTCTATACCATGAGATCAAAAAGAATAACTGTCATAGTATTTGTATGATACTAAGTAAAACTTCCTTTTAAAACACAGATTACATGGCTTAGGACAATAAACCCATATATAAACCTGAAGGATTACAACTGAACATGCACAGCTAATATACATAATTTTCTTACCACAAGAACTAAGAAGCATTCAGCTTTATCTTTTTTCTACTAAACATCCTGGCAACATTCTCCCATTTATCTTAAGTTTCTGTTTTGTCTAACAGTTATTAGACTGAATGTTAATTCTGTGGGTCAGAAAACTGCACAAGACTGATATTCTCATGCCAAGCAAGAGAAAAGGAAGGAAGATGTGAGAAACAGGTGTGCCTTCGCTGTTCTGTCAGTTGGCCCTCTGTACAGCACAGTCTGTACCTATCAGTTCCATTTGCAATTGACAAGACTTAAAATATGAGGTTTTTTTATGCAGCCCAATATATGATACTTGGTGAAAATACGACCAGATCTCAGTGTTGTTATTCTGCAGTACTCCTCTGCAAATGGGAGAGACGTTGCAGTAATTACAACACTAAAGAAACACAGATCTGATGTTATACAGAAATAAAATGAGGTTGCACACTTCTAGAGTCTTCAGTGAAATACACCTTCCAGTTCAAAATACATCACACTTCTGGTTGTAGATAAATAAAAATAAATCACCGAAAGACACATTTGTATATGACAATGATTGAAGCTTGCCTTTAATTTCCCATTGCTTCTAACAGCTACTGTATCTTCCAAAATTATTGTGATATTAAGTATATAAAAAATTGTTAATCCATTAGTAGGGTGTGCATAAATAACAATGGATCCAACTTAATCTAGACAGATACAAGTTTCCTCATCAGCAAGACTTCAAGATCTTCAATTCAATTCTTTAAATGCTTATTTTCAGACAAAGAATTTAAAAGGTTCATAAAAAAGGAATACCTCTAAGTTGAGAGTTATGTCTTATTATATTGATCAAAATAAATTAATTCAGGCAAACGTCTTCAGAAAACTCACCTTCCAGAAATTATCTACTTTGCCATAAACGAGAGATTGATTCTGCCTTTTGATATCATTAATGTGTTTAATGTCACTGGAATTCAAATGCTGCTCTACCACAAATCCAAGGAAGCTGTTATCTGGAGTGTGAGCTGTAAGAAATGGAGCATATTCAGTATCTGTTTAAGTATTAGTTAATGTTACAAAAGCATTCATGTTGTCAAGAAAATAGGCATAAAGAACATAGTATTCAACAAACCACATTTCTCACTGGGAGATACATTTGCTTACCTTATTTCTGAGAATAGCTCTTACTAATTTTAAGTCCTTCTGCACATGTCTACTGAAGTAAGCAGCTATCCTCTGGCTCATTTCCTGTAATAAAATTTCTGCATCTGGACCAAGGCCAATGATACTGACTCTTTTTGTGTACTCAGCTTCATTTTAGTATTAGAGATAAGAGAACCAGAAGGAATCCAGCTTGACAATCCCAAAGATACAATACCAGTGATTTGAAGGAACACTGTATTTAAGCTTGTTAACAAAGCAGTATGTTGCTGAGTGTGATAAATCTTATTAAATTACTTGGGCTCACCTCCTATATTGAAAGAGCCAACATACATTCTATGATAAGTATTAGCCTACAAAGACACACCATGCAAATCAGAATACAAATTTCACTGCTTAATTCACTCAAATATATGTTGTTAAAAAAAAAATAGGGACAACTGAAATTATCAAAACTGTTGTGTTAGTTGCAAAGGATATACAATTTACTCTTCATTTTCTATATTACTTTTAGCTTCCATTGGTCTTTTTTCAGCAGTATTAGGCACTGTTTGGCTCCTATAAAGGTAAAGAATTGTAGGCTCATGGCAACTAAGTTAGTGGGTTTTTTTTTGTCTGTTTTGTGGGTGGTGGTGGTGCTGCTGGTGCTTTTGATTGTTTGTTTGTTGAAAAGGTGTTCAATTGCAGGGATGGACTACAATGTTCAAAGCTTCTGGTAAGAATTCATCACTACTGTACAACAACTACTGTAACATGTTGGTTTTTTGCACATATTTAAAAAGTGGCACAGCCTTACCTGCCTGCATAGAAATACAGCTGCAATAAAACCTAGGTTCTCTATAAGTCTCACCTTTTTCTATTAAATCGACAACTTGCGAGCATATTTTGCACAGCTTAAAAAACAAAACCAGACAGGCATGACATATGCAATGTTAAACTCATAGGCAAAGTTCTACAAAAAAAATTCTATTGCCATTATGAAGTTTTACTTTTTGATCGCTGAAAAATCAGCCAGTGGGGTAACACACAGAACAGAGAAACCATACACAGTGTACAATTCCCTCTGTTGTTACATTTAGTTTTTCAAATGACAATGACTCTTTTTCTACCAAAAATGCCTCAGCAACAGCTAGGCACTCACTTAGGCCCAAGGACTTTTTAGCATTTAGCAAAGTAAATGGCATGTGGCAAATATGCCTGAAAAGGAGCTTTTTTCTGTCCTTTCATATTTTTGGATAAGAGACCGCATTCAAAGGAGAGGCAAGGCAGAACACACTCAAAAGAAAAACCTTTGTTGAAGTTAGCACTTAGAACTGGTGCAATTCAGTGCCTTAAATATCGTTGACAGGAAGCACGCAGATGGATTTTTAAGCAAGATCATGTAGTTTTAAAAGTACTAATCGTGTTACTTTGCATAACAGAATTTAAATAAAAAACATAAGAATGGGCAAAAAACACCCTCATGTTTCTGGAAAGTTCAGTGAACAGTCAAGCATGGTAATACACCACAGGTTTGAATACAGCTTGCTTGTTGCTCAGTAATAATTTTCTGCCCTTATAATCAGAGTTCTGAAAACATAATAGAGTCTGGGAATATTGGGAAGGCATCCAGGGTTCCAATCTGGCATAAAATCTTTACTGAAGCATGATATGCATGTACTTTCAATCACAACCCAATAATGATGCTGCTATCTCTGTATCGGAGAACAAAATACAAAAATAAACTTTAAATATCACAAAACATGACTCTTTGGCACCTATTACCAAAAATTAAAAAAAAGCTAAATCCTTGACCAATCTATAACACTGTAATCACTCATGCTTCAGAAAGCATTTGCTTGCAATTTCTTTGCCATGTTTTCTACAAAGGAAAAATAGCAGTTGTTTCCAGTATTAAAACCCAGAAATGCTTACTTACTGAAATTTCAATACAGTCAAACTCTTCAGAAATACTGATTATGAAGTGATCTGTTGCAAAGAATAGAATATAACAGTAGTCTATGTTGCCTTACATAAGAGAGATCTTCCCTAGGGAGATGTACTTCTGCATTTCTTGGAGTGGGTCTGAGGAAGTGCACACAGCTGTACCACAAGTATTCACTTGTGGCAAAAGCTTTCCTCAACCGCACCATCACCCTTGGTGTTCTCTTGAGCAGGATCTCACACTCAAATTTCCTAATAGTTGTACTACTCGAATACACACATTTGAGCCTTTGGCTCCTTTTCCATTTATGATATAAACCAGTAAGTATTAGCAAATCATGTGGATATGGAACAAGTTCTGCTCATTAAAGTCCAGTCAGTAACTCTGCAACCACTCCCAAGCCACATTTCCCCACTGTGCCTTTTGTTGTTGAAACGCCTCTTCAAAGAATTTAACAAGACAACTAAATGTCAGCTAGACAGCAGTGTGTACACTTCTGCTATGAAGAGCAGAAAAGTTTAAAAGATGTGACTAAGTCATCTAATTAGAAGGAACAGTACGTGCCCTGGCCATAGCCTCAGGGACCATCAGCAAACTTTGGAAGTCAGGCTGATCCCTACCCAGGGCTTCTTTTTAGACTTGGGCTGAGAACTCCAGCACGTAACAGCACACACTTTCCTCTTTCCTAAGCCTCACACACCCTCAAGCTAGCTGGCAGTGGTGAATCTTTTTGCACCTTTCAGAGAGAACAAACTTAAATTGCTACTATGGCATGCAAAAGAATGATCTTTTGAGTCTAGAACTGAGTACCATTAAGTCAAGTCTCGTGCTAGAGTAGGTCAGGTAATCATTTAATCTGATAAAATTTATACAGAATTCATAAGGAATTGTGCTGCTCAGTTGTATTTCTGCCATTTTCTCCTCACAACTGCATCAGCAGTACAGCTTATAACAACGCAAAAGTAATTCACAGAAGCTTGAAGAAAAAGCCAGCCACCACTTTCCACAGGTACCCTGAGAAGAAAGTTCCCAATCTTTATTCATATTGATGTATTTTTTTCCTGTGTGTGAAAGTAGGGCAGAAAATTTACACTTATGGTTCTGACCTTTTATCTGTGTTATATTAAACCACAGAATTGTCTTCAATAATTCAAACATCCACCTCAATGACAGCATTCCATTATTAAACTCCAAATTCTCACAAAGCCAGGGATACTTACGGAACATTGTATAGAACTGCTGGGGATTAAGGTTCCACTTTCCCCATGGTGTTTTGTGGCCTTTAGACTGAGCATAATGGGCATGGTTAAATTCTGGTTCAGTTCCAAAGGAATCCAGAACTCTTAGCATACACCTACAACAACAAAAAAAGATTTTCTGTAGGTACACGTGCACATATATATATATAAACATGTGTGCATATACACACATAATTATAATTAAGAGGTGTTTTGTTTGTATTTGCAACTGTGAATTATTTATAATCTGAATGCACATTTCAATTTCAAACATTTCTGCTATGTTCACAAAGACATTACAATAGGCAAGTTCAAGGATATTTCAGACATTCCAATAACAACCCTGGAGCTTGTTTTGGTTTTTTTTTTTTGTTCTAACAAAATGAAGTCATGCTTGAACATCTAAGTAGAGCTTATGGGAATGTGACTCTGGTCACCTGCAATCCTGAGGCTCTGAAGTCGAATTTAGGCAGAAGAAGAGAGGATTCTTCATCTATTTTCTAATGCTCTAATGCACTAGTACAAAACCAGTGCCAAGGGCCATGAGCCAAGAGTAGACTAGTCCTTTGTCTTTAGACAATTGTATTTAGTCTCCAGATTCTGACTTCTGGGTCAATTAAACCTACCAGGGAAGCACTGAAGACTGCCTAATTTGCTGAAGATTTGCAGTCTGACAAAAAGTTTTGTAAGCGAATGGCCTGAAACTTCTAAAGAAGTAATACAAAAGTCAGAATTCTTCAACAACTAGTTTACAACTGAAAGAAATCTTGGCATTGGATTACTAGAAGTCCAGATGAGAGATTTACACTCAGTTCTTTACCAACAGCCCTATTAATTCCTTGAACAAAAATTAATCCAATTACAACTTGCTTTATTTAAAAAGAAAAAAGGGTCCACGGGACATGAAAGCCAGAAAAAAAAATCTTAATATGAAGAAAAGGGTGTGCAAACTTCAGATTCAAGAAGTTACATCTTGAAAATGCAGTCTGGTAAACTTTTGATATTGTTTAGACAGGAACTTTATTTGCAGCAGTTCTACTGACCATTAGGTCCACTGCAAATGAATTCTATTACAGTGCTGACTCTTCCATTCTTCAGCTCTCCAGTAACAAAATCTGTCAGATAGATTTATAAAGGCTGTGTAGCATTATGTGCCACACTGCATTATGATATAAAGATATGAACACTCACCATGGCACATTGTGTCACTAGGCTTGTATATAGTGCAAAACAGAGCAGTAGAAGTTACTAGTAAAGTCTTCAAGATATGACCTATATATGTCCTAAGCCCATATGAAGAGAAAATACCCCAATGTAACAGCAACATATACACTGCCATATGGAATGACACTGTTGCATACAAGAGTACAAATGGGACCAATTTACTTTGTTTGTTTTTAAATCTTCATGGAGATCTTTCAAGCAAAAAGAAAGTCAAAATATACAACAATTCACCAAACAACAAAGCTGAAAGATCAGTTTCTTTGCAGTGTTTTATGTCAACTGTTCTCAATGAAAATATTTTACAATGGTAGCAATTATCTCTGCATTATACAAAATACTCCAGAAGGGCCAAAAAAACTTCTGCACTGATGACTCACTGAGTAATAAAAGCCCTTTTATTTCTTGGCAAGCCTTGCAACAGAATTCTTACCAAATGGACAGGTACATGAGTGCAGAGAAAGGAAAAAGTGAGAGGGAGCTAATGAAAAACTGCAATACTATTAGAGTTTGTCTAAACATACATATAAGGAGCAAGGCATTGCAAGCCATCAACTCAGAGTGCTTTGTTTCCTCCCTTTTTCCTATATTCAGATGTAAGATATATGAGCACTAATATATAGTGATAAAGTGTAACTATGTCCAATGCAAACAGGGATTCTGAAGTATGAGAACTGCAATGCAATAGATAATAAGCTCAACAAGGAAGCAGAGAAAACAAAATCTATGTTTACAGTGTTAGGGTGTGAAGAAAATCGGAAAGAGAAAGATCTCAGCAAAAATGATTGGTGTCAGACTGATTGAGCTATTCAGTGGCATGATTGGTTGACTCACAGCAGATTAAAAACCAAGCTGTCACATGCCTCCTCTTTAAAAATACTAAGCTGAACTATTTTTTAGATTTCACAAAGATAATACTGGAAATACTGAGAACTAGTGTATTTTATAATGTATTTTATAATGTATTTGCAATCCAATGAAGCTAGGCAGTATTTAAAATAAAGTACAACATTTCTCTCACACCTAAAAACTGGAAAGCAGGGGGCACATCGCTATCAGAGAACAGAGCATTGTTTTTTCACAGACTGGTGTAACAGCACTGAGTATTTTACAATAACTGCCAGAAAGCACTCTTCTTATCTACAAGAGACTACAAACCACAGATGAGTTCTAAACAGAGGATAGGTGGGTAGCAAACAGAAATATCAACATTAACATCTTCTTTCTTCTATCACTGATGTAAACACATTTTGGATTTATAAAAAAAATAGAAAAGCAATGAGCTGCACTACTCAAACTATAAGAAGATACTAATTTTTATGTTACTTCCTTGCACATAAACTGCATTTAAATATCCAGACTTGAAAATCAAAAAACACTGCCATGTCTAGGCATTCTTCTGCTTGAACATTATGTGCACTCAAAAAATGAGATCTCTTTTGATATATTCATGCTACTTACAACACAATTATACCACAGATAAAACACATACCAACGAGAGGTGTTGGTGCTACAGACCTCAAAAGCACAAAGCAGTATTTCAATTGCTCAGAAACACCTCTCAGAGCAGGTCATTCTTCTGAGCTACTAGTTCTAAGAATCTGATTTCAGATTGCCAACACCTTCTTCAGGGCTCAAGCTCTCACAAAGATTACATATAGTACTTTTGTGAAAGGACTGTAAGCAGAAGTTTATTCTTCCTCTCTATACCAACCAGAAGTGAATAACAAACTTTCATTTACTTATAGTTGAGTCTGGTCTGCACAAAACAGACTGAGCTGACCAGCACGTCTGCTGAAAAACAGATCTGGCCTGAAGCAGAACATTTCTTTCAAGAAAAGTGAACAGTTTCTGGTGTCATTCCATACTAATAAGTGAAGAAACAATGTATGTAAAGAACAAGAGCTTTAAGGCAGCTACATGTATGATAATATTTACTTTACTGGAGTGAACTTAACACAAACATGTAAATATGGTCTTTTATACCAGACTTACCCCCTTAACTTGAAAAATATTATTATTATTACAAACTTTATGAGGTAACTTACAATGCTGAAAAAAAAAAGAAGTTTGCAATAGGATTCTTAAAAAGGAGATAGTGAAAACTATCTCCTTGAAACTGAATTAATTCATCTGCTCTAATCAATTCTGGTAGTTTCTGCTAGATTCTATCTTGTACACTGACCTTGGAGAATAATAAGTGACTACAGACATCTTGAACATAGGAAAATCTGAATTACAAAGGAGTGACCCAAACATCTGAATTAATTATTATATATATATTTTTTTAAGCCAGCTTTAGGAAGTGCAGGATTCTAAATACAAGTAGAGAAAGAGAGGAAATAATTTATTCCAGAACTATGGGGGAACAAGCAGGAACAGGTTGTTTGCAAGAAATCAGGTCAAGAAAGACACTTAAGTATAACTGTATGAAAGAATGGCTGTGGCATTTTTGGCAAAAAAATCACTGAAGAAGGATAAATACAGGTGATCTGTTTTTCAGCAACAGTATAAACCAGATGAGCTCCTATTCAATCCTCTGATACTCAGTGCTGCAGAAGAGCAATTAAGTGATTTAATTTTCGTCTTCAAAACCATATAAAAAACTCATATACTATCTAAGATATTTATTTACCATTGAATTTAATTCTAACCTGCTTAAACAGAGAAATCAGTCGTTAACATATATTAGGAATCAATGAAAAACAGAATGACCACTAAAGATCTAATGATTCATGAAACAAACAAAAAAAACTGAAGAGCTAATGTGATAATCTCAACATCATGGCATATCTTCATATCTTTGCTACAGAATATGCCATATAGGAAATTAAAAAAAGATAGAGAAGAAACTTTTTCAATTTATACAGATAGTTTTATATCCTGACCACAACACTGTAATATTACCATCTAGTGACAATTACATCTGGCAGACAGACAACCAACTGTAGCTCAGTGGAAAATGGGATTAGCTTTATTAGCAGACTCCTGGAAAATAGAATATCCATTTACTGCTACGCTTCAAAAAAGAGATTAGGAGTAATCTAATCTGCAGTGTTGATCACAGTACTCTCCTTTAAAATTATGCTGAAAAGATGCAAGGCTCTAGCAAATCCTGAGGCAGAAAGAAAACAATTCTTCCTTCAGAGAACATCTTTCAATAGCATTTATCAAGTCAGATTTACTGGACTTTATGGATCATAAAAACAGCTAATTCAACTAGGAACAGAAAATTCAAAGTCAGTAATTTCGAGTTGGCTTTATTTCATGCTGACATAATATCAGAGCAACACAAATGAAGCTTACTGATTTCAAATTACTCACAGAAGTAAATGCGGTTCTGTAACTGCAGACAGTAAGACCATACTAAGTAATTTCTTTTGACCACCATCTTCCATTCCTAATGCTAACAGGTTATGGAAGCAACAGTAAGTACGATTACTAGCAGGTTTAGTCCTTAGATCTACTCCTGAAGACAATTCTCTCCTCAACATTTTTAGGGATGAGACAGAAAATACTAAACTGTTGTTGAGCAATAAATTCTGAATAGATAAATCTTTGCAATCATCAATCCAGTATAGTTAGAAACAATAACAAGAAAAACATGCTTGAGTTATGCCAACCAAACAACAAAATTCAATAATCTGTCAGTCATTACGGGACAAAAGTTGAGGGTGTTGGTATAAAGTAGAGAGGGTAAGAAAAGATGATTACTCTGCAATATGATATAACTCACAAAGATGAAAAATGTTTCAGTCTACTACAAGTATTCCAGACTTGCTTGGGAGAAGTGGTAAAGGAGGTATGCAACAAAGAAGCAACAGCTCCTTTATTCCAAAGAGTGAAGGGCAACAGAGAACTACATTTTTACTTTTAAATAATTTCCAACTCATGTAAATGTACTCACATCAGTATTTTGACATGTTATTCAATAGCAGCTCTTTAACAAAGCGGTTAAGAGGTCAAATAACTACTATACTTACTGGTAATGCACCCATGATGGGCCAAGTGTTTTCTTAAACTGAGTGAGTCCCACTATATCAATGTAGATGAGTTCAACAACTTTATCTCCCTGGGTAGGGCAGCCAGATCTGTTACCTACAACCTTCTTCATAATTCTAAACAAAAAAAGAAGGAACACAAAAGTATTGCTTTCAGAACTACCTTGATTTCATGCTATTTTATTATTTACATAAATAATTCATCTTTCCAAAAAAGCCAGACTTTTCCTTTACAAATCATTAGCTATGTAACTACATTTAAGTGCCTAAAATCCTCAACATTCACTAAAGAGCTGTTTATACATCAGTAAGTTGCTAATTTTTGCTAAAAGACTCTCTACTTTAAAAAAAAGGGAGTAATATGGTCAGAATGTTTAAAAATTGTGTATTTTGAAAGTGATTGAAAATAATTTCAGACTTCCATTGACAGCTGTATGGTGTAAGAGTTAAAAATGATGCTGTTATGTTTATTATAAAAAAAAAAAAAAGGTGTATGTTCTCAAGCTTAAAATAGATTAATTATGCTTAATGCTGTCTGCCTAATGTACAGCAAAAGAAAGATGAGTGAGGCAGCAATTTGACCTAACATAAGCAATTAACTACATTAAAAATATTTTAAAGTATTAAAACCTTCATTTAAAAAATCAGATACTGATTGAATAATAGTATAAACTGAAGAAGAGGACACAGAATTAGGTTAAAACTTCTTACTGCAGCTGGTTAAAGCACCTGGGATGTTAAAGAATAAGCTGCTTAGTTTGAATTCTACAACATTCATTTATGAAGTCTCAGGAGTCTGAAGCTACAATGAAAACACATTATCTTTTTCATAGCACATATATTTAACTCATGAAAACAATCTTGTCTGTTTAGTGAATTATCACTTTCATTTTATCCTTCAAGAAATTATATGCTCTGCTAATAGAAGCAGCAAGAGTTTACAGTTTCCCTTTTTTTCCCCCCTTTGTATTCCCATTTCAAAATTGAAAGTAATCTCCTTACTCCTTGAGCTCTGCCAGTGAAGCTGAAATCCTGATATCATGGCCCAGTAAGTAGAGAGATGTAATTAAATCACTCCATTGGACTAATTCACCAAGCGGGCCACCACTAAATGCATTCTCAGCAATCTTGAATCCAGACTCTTTTGTCAAAAGCCCAAGGTGAACAAGAATCTGGAAAGAAAAGTTGTATGTTACTTAATGACAATAAACATGCAGGTAACATACTTCACAGCATTTCCTTTTTCTCTTTAGTTCCAACCATTTACAGACAGAAAAAAACAAACACAAAGAAACACGAAGCCAAAACAAAACCCAACAATCAACAACAACAATCCAACGTCTCCACCTTAATCAGAGACCTTGTAAATAACTTAATTTGTAATTTATCTTTAGTAACTGTAAGACCGTTACCATATTACTTGCATTATTATGTGCCAACAGATCAGTAATAATACCCCAAATTAGATATTATTCACAAAATGATATGTATTCTGATACACTTATGCAATAAGGCAGTTCAGTTCAGGAAGTTCAGTTCATGCTGTTGTGAGCAAGCCATTAAAAACTAGGAAAGACTTCACAAGAGTGACACTGGAGGAGAGTTTTCTCTGCAGCTCCTTGAAATTTGTACTTAACTTTCTAACTAAGCTCAGGTCAATTCCAAACACTTCAACACTTCACTATGTCTCTGGACTGTTATTGAAGTGTTGGTACATACAGTGCCAAGCTCAAAGCCCCCTGACATCAAAACACTTCTCCTTCACTCCTTAATGTAACATTCATAAAAACATTTTGCTCTAATCTAGAACTGGCCAAATTAACATGAAATCATCATGTGTTTTGCAGAGCAACCTTAAAGAGCTTTTAAAAGCATATAATAAGCACTAGAACATCCCATCAAAGCTGCCTGAACAAGACAGTACTGCTTCTGTTTCTTTTTATGTATTCTGAGATGCTATATTTCTTTACTAAGCAGGCTGGATTGCTGCTTGAAATCAGCAAAGCATTGACAGAGGGTGAGCCTTCTCAGGGACTGTGGTATGTGACAAACCTGAGAGCCACAACATGGAGTCTATATCTCATGCAGGAACTGTGAACCTCAAGCAAGGAGCCACCCTATGGTAGGATCATGACTGCCTCTCAGGGTTGGCTCCAGTAAGCATAGGGCAGAAAGGGAAACTATTGTGTTTACAACTGTTGGCTTTGTCTTCACTAGTTGAGGTAAAGAAAAAATTAAAAAAAATGAAAACAAAAGAGAAACTTTGATTTCAAGTGTATCACAGACTTTAAACTGGACTCACTAAAGGTCAAAACAGATCCTATCAAAAGTTGTGATCAACTCAAAGTCTCCTCCAATCCAAAACAAAGATGCCATTTAAAATTCTGTACAACTGTTGGTATCTAAACATTCCTGCATAATCAGTTTCTGTTAAATTCACAGTTCCTCTCTTTAGAACCTTCCATGTAGTTTCCCTTCAAGTAAAGATTATAGAAATAAGAAAATTTTTTCAACGGCTACCTTACTAAATGTTTGTAAAACTATGTGTAAACCACCAATGTAAAAATAATTTAAAACATTAAAATACCCTTTGAAAAGGGATAGACATGAGCCTTTTAGATATATTTGGTCCTTCTACACCAAAGTTGCTTTTGGAAAAGCAAATTAAAGAAGGCTAAAGATTGCAAGTGTCAGGAGTGGAAAATTTTTTACCTTACCTTCTTTCGTTTTCTATTCTCCAAATTTTGTTTTTCTGCAAGTGATTTAATTGCTTCAATCCAAGTATCAGCCATTCGTCGGATACGTAACATCATCCACCTGAATTCCTCATGCCTTGACATCATTTTGTAGAGAGGATCAAAGTTGATACGAATTTCAGCCTTCAATAAAAATATTAAAAAAAAAAAACATACAAAAAACCACTAATGTTATTCTTCAAACTGTGTACCTTCCAGAAGTGATGAAAATTCTCAAATGTGAATTCTGAGCTTTATATTACTTGTTGTTAAAAAGCAGACCAACATTAGAAAAAAGATATACTAATTAAGTTAAAGCAAAGCTGAGATTTTAGTTCAAATATTTAAGATATCTTTATTTAAATATTTCTAAGCCATATAAAGTAGTTATTTTGATTAGTAGTACTTAGTTGACCTTGAAATGTATTTGTGGTGTTTCAGAGTGTATCTATTTCTGCAATACAAGATTTGGTGTTCTTCCTGTGTTTCCACAATGAGGTTAAAGCATTTTTAGAACAAAATACTAATTCAGAAAGTTACACTGAAGATTCAGATATGTTACAGATCTTCAAAATGCAAGGAAGTATCTGACATTAAAGTACAAACTTTACTACAGTAATACTTTAAACATTACTATAGTAATACTTTAAAAGGAAATACTAGTTTTCAAGCTAAATTGCTAAATCAATCTAAAACCAATTGGTTTTTAGACCATATGTCAACCTACGTCTACATTTGTAATCAGTGGTCACATACAGCTCAGCAATTATTTTAAAATACTTAAGTGCTGCATAATTAGACAAAAAGAATTTAAGAACTCAAGAATATACAAGGTTGTTTCTAACAGAAAAAAATCAAAATGTTACAAAAGTGAAATTGACACAAGGCTCTTCTGTTATAGTATTGTTATATATAAAGCTCAGATTTATGGGACAGCAAAAATGGACAGTTTCACATATGTGTAAAGAAGCAATGGTGGGACATGACAATATGGTCACTTAATACTGGTGAAGAGTCTATCAGATTTGTATCTTAATCTGTGTACAATGCTTCATAACCTAAAGTATGTAAATGTTTTTAGTGAAAATTCTATCACCAAGACTGCAGTATGATTGAAGAAAGTACATGATGAGCTACATATATGCAGTCAAAGATTCTTCCCTTCAGCTTTGAGGAACTGAGGAATAGCAATGGTAAATTCTAGTCTCATTAGCACTTATGTGAAACAAGATTCCAGAATCTTTTGCAGGAACAACAATACTGAACTGTTCTTATGTTTTAATGTTTTTCTTACCGCTGTCTTTTGATCAGTTTCTTCATTAGGATTTTTTGCTCTCCAAGGTAAACGAGGACACCAATTTTCAACCTGTAAAACAATCAAATGAAAATAAATCATTTTATTCTACTTTCAGCTCATTTATCCAACTCTGACTGCCTTTATATTACACTTTCCTGCAGTTTGAATTAGACATCAGCTGATCAGTAAGTCATTGCAAGGTAAAACTGCCTTCTGTAATCTCTCTTTCAAAATGGCTTTCTGAAATTCATCACTTTTAACCTTGCAACAACGAAAAGCAGCACTTAGACATTAGTCCATAATAATGAATACATGGGACAAAACTCAAGCCAGAGGTCAGCTGTTAAATGCTCTAAATGAGGTTTCTCTGAACAGTTCCTAAATGCTTAAGTGCTCCTAAAAGCACTAAGTTTTTTATGCTTCTAAAAAAACTATACTTTTTAACATTTTGTTGTCTCCCTAGCATATGTTTATTTAAAAAAGATTGATAAAAACAAGAAACAGTGCTCTTGTAGTAGTCTAGGCAATTTTTTTTTAAAAGATAAATTAAAAAAATTCCTAATTGTTAAGTAATGTAATAATAACACAAGTATTAATAGCCATAATTCTGACAGAAACAAGTGATGCAAATGCAGTACTCCTCCTATCATCTATTCTAGAAAAAAAAACCCTCTACAACAGCTAGAAGGTAGGAAATAAAACAGCAAATGGAAGAAAGCCACCAAAAGTGCCTGTGCTATCTCTAGAAATGTCACTTATCCTACAAAATCTGCATTATTCACGTGCAATGATCTGTTCGTTTACTTCTATGAAGAAAGAATCTCACTGTTGGAAACAAACCCATGAAAGCAAAACAGAAGCATAACTTCATTGTTAAATGGGAAAAACAAAAGTTTACATGCCAGCTAGAATACCCCATCACAAATGGTTAAATTCACAACTTGCAGAGAATCAGAAATCAGTGTTGCTCACAAGGGGCCCTCCAGTCACAGATCTGTCAAAACACCATTTTAGCTTAATCATGCTGCAATAAGCCTCAAGTATTAAAGATTAAGGGCTTAAGATTGTACCAAATGATTGCCTAGAAGAGCAATTACATGAAAATAATGAATTAACAGGCATCATAACCTCATTAAAAAGAAGAAACATAGCAAGGTTAAGTTCCTCGGACAAATTATTTAGAAGCCTTAATTTGAATGTTGCAACTTAATCTACTCAATATATTTAATGCAACATTTGATAGCAACGACCTGATCAACTTTGTTTGAAATACCTGAACACTGGTCTCCAGCTCTGCAAAGACTGTAGAACCTGTAGCAATTAACAATCCTAAAGCAAGTTGCGAATCGCTGGTAGAAAGGAGTTGCAAGCTCCAAATTAAAAATCATGCACAGTCCAATCTCTCTCTTTCTCTCTGTGTCTGAGTAATTTTGAATTTTTCCTATATCTAGCAGTCAAGACATTTCAAGTACAACTGTATGTGCTCTTTTTCTGGCTTACATATTTCACACTGCACCATCATAGATCTAAGAGAGCTGAAGATTTTTCCAAGCTGAATATCTCACTGACTGAGAAACAAACAATACTTCTGTGCTTTTAGAAATATTCCATTGTCTTTCTAACTTAAATTAAATTGCAGTAATTCTGTTCACAGGAGCGTTTCAGAAGTAGATACAAAGTACGTGGTTGCTCTCGTATTCATTTTTCCTTATGGATACTTAACGAATTCCTTTTGTCATTTGAAATAAGAGAGAACAGCTTAACTCATCAGAAGATTTTTAACACATGCTCTTCAAAGTCTGTTTGTTTTCTAATTTCAGGGCTGATAAAAGCGGTAGAAAGAACACACAGGCATTCTCATAGAAAAAAAAAAAAGGATTGTGCTTATTTTTGAGGGCTAGTGGCTCACAGACTTAGAGCTGTTGGATGTTAAGATGGTCAATAAAGACCACAGGCATGCATGCGTCCACAAAGAATATTTTATGATGATGGAACCAGCCAAAACGCTGTTTCATTCTTCAGAACATGAGTTAATTTTCCAGATAATTAAAGAGAACTGGAAATTAATGTGTCATGGTTCGAGGAGAAACAAAAAGGAAAATCAGACCATGATTAGAGAGATGGCAAGAAGTCATAAAACTCAAAACTCAGTACTGAAGCTCATACAACAGAAGTCACTTGTAGAACAGATACTATCATTTCTTTGCCTACTTCCCTTGCCTCGTGTGATACTTAATAAATCAAACTGAGCACTTTGGCATTTCCTGTCCAGAACATGCAGTTTCTCATTTTTAATCCCATGATCTATATCTAATTGCAGCTCTAATTGCAGGATCTATGGTTTCATGAGAACTTCACATGACCTAGAAAACAAGCATCTTTTTCTCCTTTTTTTTTTTCCTTTAAATAAAGAACCAAGTATTGCCAGTTCAGTTAATGACTTTAGGGTTTTTCACACAGAACACCACAAGGATTCCTATACCTAAACACGAAACCTAGAGTGGTTAAGTAATTTTCCTGGTTGCCTTGCATGACTAAACACAGTACATAAAAGTACTCATTTCTGAACAAAGTTGCTCTTTTCTCAGCTTCACATGTTAACCACTGCCACGTCAACTTTTTTGTAAACAAAGATAAGTGCTACATTTAATGAAAAAATGCAAGAAGATGCTCATGAAACAATATTTCTTCCAGCAAATACCAGTGAAAATTGAATGTTATTTACTCCAGATTTATTGACATAACACGAGTACATCCTAGGCTTCATTATATTGAGTACTCATTTCTAGCTAAAGACGTGGTAATTAAGAAAGGTGAGGAATTACTAACCAGTTCAGATTGGCTCGAGGATCTCCTTGGCTTTCAATCTCCTTATTCCAGTAAGTAACCACTGATAGTATTACAGTATGCTCTTTGAAAAGATGTCATGCTTGGAACTTACTTGTGCCTCCTTTGCTCCCTTAATACTCATAGGAAATTGCTCTGCTAGATCTGTTGATCACCTTTCATTGAAGCTACTAAAGAAAAGGTGGGATATAGTGGGAAGGTGAGGGGCTGAATTAAGAACTTGTGCTGTAAAACATTTCCCAGAAGCTGATACAGTGGGACATGAAAAGAAAAATACTGCCTTGATTAATTTCATACTTTATTGCTAACTAACAATAAAAAGTGTGTGGAAAATGCATTAAAGTATTTCTTGTCCTTGGCCAAGAAGCTTTTTGATTATATCACACGCACAAAGGAAAAAGTGCATGTGGATAAACACATACAAATACATACATGTATGTGTATGATTATAAATAGCAAGAAGTTACAGTACATGCCTAAGGCTTCAGTATGAAGTCAGAAATATGGTATTGTGCCACACTGTTACAGAAGTTCTTGTCATTATATCACTAGATGAAATCTCCATCAGAAGTGTACAAATACTACAGCTTCGTATTTGTTTAGGTACAGATAATCACACAGCCAAAAGCCAGAAGTTTGAGCAACATGAAGAAGGGCAGCAATATATGTTTTGATCTTATTCTTCAACTTACTTATATATTTTGTTTGATTGTTTAAGGGGGGGGGAAAAAAAAGTATAAACTAAGCACTGAAGAAGGAACTGAGGCTCCTCTCCCCGCTTTCCAGGGCTAACTTTCTCTCAGAGGGTTTGCAGCAGTTCTTTTTCCATGTTATTCTCTCCATAGCAACCAACTGCTACACTGCAATACACATGATTTGATAGGAAGGATGTGGTATTGGAGTACAGAACAGAAGTTAAAGAAGATTGTTGGGAAGCAGCAACTGCAATTCAAAGACTGCCTTTTTTTTGAGTGACAAGCTATTATTCAGATCAGACTGTATTTATTTTTCTCATGTCATATTTATGAATAAGAACAGCTCTGTCTCCTGTAACTAGCATTGAAGCCACTGCCAATCAAACACACTTAGTAGTCTCTTGAGCATGATCTAAAGTTAAGTCCACATGAGAAGACCAGCATTTCCTTCCTATTTTGGCATCACAGCAGCCACAGCACTGTCTATAGCACATGTAGATAGCTTTATAAAATTAGGATGAATGGTACTTTAGAAGCCCAAAATTTAAGTGGAACACAATTGTACAGATTGGTGAACTCCTCAAACTGTCCTACATTTTCTCTAGCCTCCCCTCATAGACAATCCACTTTCATAGGGAATTTACCTTCATATAGCATGCTGATAAGTTAGCACCAAGAAAAGACCATTTCCCCAAACAAACCAGGAAATCAGAAAAAATATCTTTCATAAAGCCTTTGCAGCTTCTATCTGTACCAATAATTTTTCCTTAGAAATGACTTCTCTCCTGTTTCATGACAAGACTGCAGTGCTCAGCTACACAACAGACAAAGGAACTTGAATATACTTGTAATAACCTGGCAGCAGTCTGTAGCGTGGCCAGTTTGGGCACCTTCCACACTGAATGAGTGCTCTGCCAGAAGCTCTCCCACAATTGCAGAAAGTTCTTTAAGTCTTCAAAGAATAACAGTAAGAGTTTAACAAAGCAGAAGATGAAGGATACTCTCTAGACACCTGGCATAATCTTCATCCTGGATTCCTCCTCATGACAGGTGCAGCCCATTGAAAGGGAAACAAAACCCAGTTTCTGCGCATTTCAGATGAGTGGTTATTGCTCAACATCACTGAATGTGTGGTGAAGCACTGCTACAAAGTATTTCATATCAATTCCAGAGCAGGAAATAAACAGTGCTGCAAAAACCAGTGAAGGACAGTTCATCTTTGAATTTATCAGATGGCACGCAGAGCATTCAGTGTTCACTTAGGAAAGCCATTTATGAATCTGAGGCAAAAGAACTGTTCCCATCAGGAAGCTGACTTTCTCCATACTTCCAGAAGCTGTAATATCTCTGTTCTGTTAGCATTTACTCAGTGCAAGGTAATCACTTTGACAATGTAAAAAAAAGTCTGTGGTGTACAAGCAGACTGCTTGTTTGTTCAGCGAAACTGAGAAGTGAATACAGGTAACATAGGGTGTTTGTTTCCACTGGCAATCCCAAATGGGCTTTTATCTAACTTCAGTTCTGTAT